GAACCTTTAAATTTAAATTTTAATGAGATGAGTGATACTACATTCTATTATAGCAGATAAATTTAAAATTAGGCTTTATGAATGAAAGTTGTATTCTCCTGTCATGTTAGGCATCAAGTCTGTTGTGGTATTTATTTTTTGCTAACACATACAGCAAACAACCCCGTTTCCTATAGTTACAAATGGTAAAAATTCCAGCATGGTCTTTTTGAGACATTACATGCATGTTTTGAACTGTACCAGAATTCTACCAACGGCATTAATTTAAATTCTTCTTGCAACGATATATCAGGTGTCATTTAAATAAAAGTTTCCTATTCTTCTGCTGATATGGTAGAATATCGTGCATTGGCAATAAGCATGCTTTTAATCCAAAATTCATTCCGTTATTTAATCTGCTGTTCATTTGGAAAATACTGATCAAAAGCTTCACTCAAACCTTTCAGGTGTTGAATAATTATTTCTTCAATAAATGTATCTCCTTCTTAACTCGGCTTAGTGTCCCACTCTGCTTAGTTATAGCATGGAAAGACATTGAGAAAAATGCTTTTCTGTTAGAGGAGTTCAAAATAAATAATTATATTTTCGGCAAAGAAAATAAAGCAATTTACTCTTTCTTTTTCTCTCCCTCCCTAACTTTATGCATAGTTTGACGTAATTATCAATATTGTAGCTTGTAAGCTAGATAATACATCTTTATAAATGCTTACGTACGAAACATTAATTTGATTTTAATAATTATCTTTTACTTTTGAATGTCAAATTCTTTCAGGCATCCACGAAACCATTTTAACATCAGTTATATTTCTATTGTTGTAACTGAAAAAGAATTGCGAAAATGTCAGACCAATCTGATCGAGCTGCAAAGGAGTAAATTCTTAATCTATATTTTATACAAATCTCCCGCATACGCCTCACTGAGGTTCATGACAGTTTGATAAAATGGAGGTAATGTTGCTCTCTCACCTTCCTTATTCATCAGAACTAGTTTCTTTTGATGTAATGAAGTTGAGTCTAAGCTAAGAATAAAGGGATTTTCCGTTCCAAAGTTAAAATTCTCGATGATAATTTGAGCACTTTGAACCCTCGATATTACCAATCACTTTAAAATTTAAAATATCAAAGAAAACTGACCAACAGAGCTTAGTGTGATCAACAAAAGATTTGCTAAAAAGATTGGAGCTCTGTCCGGAGCAGTATATCAAACGAGAAAAGAATACTTCGGTGACAAAGCTGAATGTAAACGGTAAATACGTTTAAAAATAGAATAAATGTTTGAGAACGTTCCCTAAAAATCTCTGCAGAAGAAAGTTGAGTACTCGTATTATAGTTTTCTTTAGCAATATTTAGCAATCTTGCTTTTAAGCAAGAAGAAAAGAGATGAGGACTTTGGCGAACGCCGTTTCCTCCATTCCGTGAAGTATAGTTTTCTTGGGATCTATTAATTTAATCTCAAAGGTAAAGTTGCCAGTAATCATTTCGAAAATGAAAAATACAGACATTTTGATAAAAGCTTTCAGCATATATTTATTTAATAGTTGATAGAAAGCGTGAACATTTAATCTGTATCATTTATGTAAAGAAATAGATACTTTATTTTCCCTTTAGATAAATCTGGAATTACCAATGTGAGAAAATGATTTCCATTTGAATGGGATTGATTGCATAATCAATCAAACTAATGTTTAACTGGTATTTTTAATCTCATATCGTAGATAAAAAGGATTATTTAATTTTTTATAACAAAACTTCATTAATATCTTTAATGCGATGAAATATCTAATGTTTAAGAAATATAAAATGTTTCAGAGATTGTTGAGAGGTTTAAGAGGTTTCTTGAGATTAGAAATAAAATGCACAGATACAAATTTCTAATATCGAAATCTGTTGCAAACGATATTAAAAAACTATCCATTGAAGTAAAACGCAAGGAACAGAAAAAAAAAAAATCTGAAATGTTTCAGATTTTAAATTACGTCCAAAGGGGCGTTTTTTTAACATTTTGTGTGTTACCTTTCTTTATTAAATATCATGTTCCTCGCACTTAAACCATAAGATCCAGTGCAACAGCAATATCGCAAAATAGTTTTAAAACGAGCATATCTTTAGAATTTCCGATACAGAGACTCACGCGCTGGAGATAAAAATGTTTTTTCTGCACAACGTTGCCATTGCTCGCTTTGAAATCCTTGAGTTTGTTAATCAAAAATTCGTCAAAGTTTTAAAAAATAGGAAATCGATCATAAAACAAATTTCAAATTTCAAATTTGGTCTTCCACATGCTCATATTCGTTGGAGGATTACGTTATTCAAAATTCGATGACTCTATGTACCGTTTGTTTTATCACAATACGAGAAATATACATACATTTATGCAGATTTTTCATTATTTAATTTCTTCAAATATAATGCAGGACTCTAACATTTTGTGGCAACAGTTTGAAAAGTGAACCGACATTTATGAGTCCGACGCAAAATGCCAAAACGAAACTAATAGTCCTTCGGGATTCAAATCCCTTTGGACTAAAAAGAGAAGAACTAATTTAAAGATTTTAATGATTCCTCAAGCTGAAAGAATTCGTTTGTAAATTTTTGAATGTATACAAATTTGCACTTGCATTAAAACAAATAACTATTTTATTAATTTAAACAGGTAGATAATTACTATTCAAAACATTATCTGACGGTAGCATCAGTACGAAATTTCATTAACAGAAAGAGTTAACTTTTTAAATTTATTTGTAAGCTGGCATCGGTAAATATAATGTATAAATGCTAGCACGTTTTTTGTCTTTTTTAAAGCTTATTATCTCCTTATTGCCTCTATACTATGGTTTTATTGTTATTTGTGAATGTCTCTCTGCGGTAAATGAAGGTAAGCCTGTTATAAAATAAATATATTAATCCGGCTTTTTTTCTTGTCTATGATTACCTAATATTAAGTCAATTAATTTCAAGCTTGATTATGAAAATCTCTTTATTTATATTGTGCATAACCCAAGAGAGTTACGGGGAAAATAATAGAAATTTGCTGAGAGCAAAATACAATATTTTACTTTTGTAAACCTGTAGATAGTTACGCAAATTTTAAGGTTTTGCCCTTTATTCTCGTTGTTTCACTGGCTGGACTTTGTCTCTCTTTTTTACTATTTTCAACAAACGTTTACATCATATTTACGATATTAGGAACTATTAATAGATGCTCTTAATAATAACATTTCTATGACTCATAGCGTAGAGAAATCAAATAATTACATTTCTCACCCAAATGTTAGCCGGGAATTGGTTAATAAAAAATAACTGGAAGCAAGTAATTTAACAAGCTTCTAGAACGTTCTAATATCGCCGTAGGCTTCCAAAGTCATAGCTAGGTAAAATATCTATGGCAGTTGGGTAAAATGTAGAAAATGACAGTCAGTCTATTAAAATGTATTAAAAGTAATGTAACACGTTGCGTCATCTTCTGCATTGCCTGAATTAGCAGGTAAATTTATACGAAAAAACGGAAAATCAAAAGGTATGGCAACTCAGAATACAATCTAGTAACCTGAACTTAAATAAAAATAAAATAGGTAAATAGGAAAGAGAGCAAAAGATAAGAGATGTCTCCGTTTATAATTTTCGAAAAAAAAATCTAATCTTATTTGTTCCTGTAGCATTTGGAACATCTAGAGTAAATCTGAACTACGAAAATATTACAATACAGTTTACTAGTCTAACTATTAGTTTATACAATTACCCCTCTTTGTTCAATTCTAATTAATACTGCTTCTGCTTCTACTTACATCTCTTCACCTAAAATTGCTGAAATTTGTTACAGTTTTCTGGATACATTTCCGTTATGAAACTGCCACGCATTTTCGCGTGTATGTGTGAGCACGCATGTGCATTCCTGTACGTAACAGAAAAGTACTATGAGTGCGTACACACACGCATATACAGGATGTTCAACAAAGGGATTCCGGATTTCAAAATTAAAAATCTCGAAAACAAAGAGATAGAGGAATAAAACAAGCGGTATATTTATCATGGAAGTCATAAGATTGTTATAGAGAAGTTTCGAAATAATAGTTACAAAAGCTCGGATTTCCTTGGATTTTGCTGAATAATTCCAAATACAGTTGCGACATTTTCAGGCGTAACTACAGTTTACTTGCGACCAAAACTCCCTCCCAGATCATCGGCCACGCTGCCTGTCCGTTGGCATTTATCGAACAGTTTGTGAATGGTTTTCACATCGGATCCTTTAGGAAGATTCAGCAGTGTTTGAAAACTATGCCTTGTTGCCATAGGACTGTGATCTAATCTCTGATACTCCATTATAAGAAACACACGTTGTTCAATGGAATACATGATTTCAACCTCTTCCTTCCATACGTTAACCTCTTTTCACGTTTCAAGGATGGAACTGATCGCTCTTGCGTCTTTTGGAGCACTGTTTATACGCACTACGCATTGTGATTAGAGCACTATATGTTTGCAGCTTTAGTAACTATTATTTGAAAATTTCTGTAAAATAATCTTACAGCTTTCACAACAAATATGCCGCTTGTTGAATTTTTCTGTCGATCTCTGTTTTCGAGATGTTTAATTTTGAAACCAGGGACTCCTTTGCTGGACATCCTGTACATACATGCACACACACATACCAAAACGTGCAGCAGATGCATAAAACAGAAAAGTACCGTTTCTTATTATACATCACCTAACGATAAAGTAATTTTCTGTAAATTAGTACTATTTTAATAAGCTAAGAGTTCTAGTGCTGTGTTTAGAATTAATAATAGATAGTTTTACATACATACATCGATCTATTTATATACCTATAGAAAAAGGAATAATCTGAAAACGTGAATATTAAAGTATATTATGACACGAAGATAGTTGTGTGGGATATTACATTCTGCAGATTAGATATAATAACTACATAAATGTGGCAAGAACATAATAGCATTTTGAAAAGATCTGTATAAACACTAGAGATTTTTTTTATTCCTTTCAGATTGAGGAAATGCGTTTGTTATGACTCTCAAATCAAAAGGAAGACGAAAGCAAACAAGAAAAAGTTCATCTAAATGGTCTGAAGCTGTGTCATGAGAGGTTTTATGTTATTTAATTGTTATTTTTAGCACATAAATAAATGTAAAATTTTGCTTTTCTTTCAAAAAGGTGGACATCAAAACGTCTAAGTTTTGCATCAGATATTAAATGGAAAACACTACGACATAACGGACCATTATTTCCTCCTCTATACAAAAGGCTTCCAAGAAAAGTAAAGTTTTATTACAAAAGTAAGTTCTATTTAAATTGCCCTACTTCATTTTTACTTCCTTGTACAAAGTGAAGGAAGTATTGTAATATCGAAGAATTTGATTATCAGATTTTTAAGGAAATATCAATTTTAATGGCTCCTGAAACACTTTTGACTATTTTTTGTGGGATGTCTATACGTAAGGATAAAATAAAGAACTCTTTATTCCAAAATGGATTATAGAATGGAATAAAAATGAACTTGTTCGTGACCTCCGTGCGCACATACTTCTGTATCTCGCATAACTCAGAAAGTATTAGCCGTCGAACGTTGAAATTTTATACATGGGACTGCCATATTACCTAGTTGGATAATCTTCTTTTTTGCTCCAATCAGCAGTAATATATGTACCAAGTATATACACCCAGTCCCTTACTCGGCTTAAAAGCCATTACCCGCCCTTTAGTTTGTAGAGACATTAGGATTAATTTGGAAGCAGGAAAGATGAAAAATGAGCAACCACTTTCACCGGAAATCGAACCGCGGACCTCTAGAAATACGCGCCAAGCGTGCAGACCACCGCATCACGAAGGCATGCCAAGAAGGTGGGAGAAATACCTTATATACTCCCCCCTTTTAAAGAGCTACTGGGGTTTTTAGGGGACCCAGTTGTCAAATCCTAGGTGAGGAGAATCATCATCTAACACCCTTTTAGTTCGGGCGCCACTTTCAGAGAAATTAAGGTTAATTTGGAAGCAGGAAAGATGAAAAATGAGCAACCGCTTTCGCCGGGAATAGAACCGCGGACCTCTGGAAATACGCGCCCAGCGTGCAGACTACCACACCACGAAGGCATGCCAAGAAGGCGAGAGAAATACCTTATAGGTTTCACAATCATTGGTCGCAGTCATATACTTACAATTACAGAGGTATTTTAAATGACAAAAATATTCATGTTTTGGGAATGTCAAATTTAAAAAAAAAAAAATTATTTTTGGCAAATAACGAAATCTAATTTCTAATGTTGTCTCTATGTTCCTATACTTATATTTGGGAAAGTTTTATACTCGTTATGAAAAAATTAAAAATACATGAAGTTTGATTCCCGTACGACAAAATTTGACCGGAATATTTAATTTCAATATTTGCAATTTTTGATTTCATTTTCAATTTGTCCTGAGGGAATAATTTGTTATTTGAAATCTTTCGAGGAAATAAGTTTAAACAGAGTGCAGCAAAAATTGTGTATAATTTAATAGGTCGTACACGGAAATGATGTGTTGCTCACACCAGGTGTTTTAATATTTACGAAAATTGGTATATTTTTACACATATATGTCTTCAATAATACTACAATATGTTCCATAAAATTCTTAGTAGAGCTAAAAGTTATTAAAATTTTTTATGAGAAGCAAATATTTTCGAGGTTGTATTTATGTTTTGAGGCATGATTGACAAATGCTGTTTATTATTTCATGCCATAATAGGCTTCTCTAATAAAGAATTGGAAATGGATGACGTAGAACGGGGTGTAGCTGTTGCATAAAGACATACTAAAATTCCTGATTGGTTGAACCCACTCTTGTCTTGATAAAACATTTTTGAAACAGACTTTACACATCTAAACTGACGCAAGACTCGCATACCGATCATAGCAATTATCTCTGTATTTTCACATTTTAATAATATATTTGAAATAACAAACAAGATCAGCGGAAAGCGGCTAGAACAGAAAAGCTGAAAAGTAGTGTACTGATTCCAATATAAAGATTAAATTAAGAATAATACAGATATGGTTATTGGTTAATTAAACTTTTGGTTTGCAAATTTAAATATTATTATTGTCTGAAAGATTTTTTTCATTATGTTAATACAAGCGTAATGAGCGTTATATAAGAATCTCATGCCAGGTATTAACACTGAAATGACGCAAAAGTTTTATTACACGCATGTTACTATTTTTAGGATATAAAAGGGAAAGAACCAAATTAAAAAGGAGACTGAAGATATAATTGCAAATAGAAGTTAGAATCTTATCTCACATGTGTATGCTCGCATATGCTGTGAAAATACGCATTTATCTGAAATTAATTCATCAGTCACACCTTCTTAAATATTAGGCTGTTGTGTTTTCCAATTCTGGCGACTAAGCACAGTGGTTGCTTTAACAAGAAACACCGAAAACTGTAATTGAAAAGGTATATTTGAATTAGAAATAAAAGAGCATACAGTGTTTAGCTTCTGAGCCTTGGGCGTATCTCCCTCGTTTTAATTCATCTGATCTTCGACATCTTGTTAATTTTTTTGACATTGCAAAACGCTATGAAGGATCTTTTTTATGTATGCATATTGTGAGCCTTTGAATTACTCTCTGATTCTTCAAAAGAAAATTTGATGCGTATTGTTGACAATAATCAAGCAATTAGCATGCACACTGTAATCAAATGCATTTTCAGGGAAACCAATGAAGCTAAGCAAAGCTGCTGAAGAAGTCGCTTCGTTTTATGCCAAGATGCTGAAGGAAGACTACACTAAAAAAGCTTTATTTAATAAAAATTTCATGATGGATTGGCAAGAAGTAAGGTTTTGGGTTTTTATTGGCTTTATTTATTGTTTTAATCAACTCAAAAAAATATATATGTGTGTGTAGGAAAATGCGAATATATATAGGCAAAAGAGCCGCTAAATACTGAAAAACTTAACGATACAATCCAAATTACAATATACGGAGATTAAAAACAAATAAAGCTCTGCATGGGACTTATTTTCTGCTGGCTTCAGTCAATGTCTTAAAACATGGATTGCGTGTATCTGCTTATTATTAATTTATAAACTTCAACAAATATGTAATGAAAAAACAGTGCTTTCCAGTTTGTATGACGTTATTTAAAGTTTAAAATCTTCAAAATTACATTTGCCGATTTTCATTTAGATTGATGACCACATTTAATGATTTTTCGAGGTTTGACCCCAAAGATTTCCCGGCGTGATATTATTAAATAAAATGCATAAAAAAGGTTTTAATTAAAGTATAAAGCAGAAAACATCAGACAGTAAAATCTTGATTCATAAATGTCATTTTTAAAGACGTTCGTCATCCGAAAGCTGAAAGTTTGTGAGCTGAAATTATTTTCCTCATAGAAATTAATTTAAAACAGATGAATTCGTTTCTGAAGTACGTTTGATTATGTAAGTTTTATAAAAATAATTTATACCCGTATTCATAACACAAAACCAAGGAATAACACTGAATCTGAGAAAACTTCACCCAAGCAAAAGCATACAACTAAATATATAAAAGACTGCAGTTTAATTTTACTTTATCGAATCCGCAGAATGGAGAGCATCAAACCTAAAGTGGTGAAGAAGGCAAAAAGCAAGATGTTATTATCTGGAAAAGGTACCCCTTCCATAACAACATTATTGAAACCGTCTTTATCGGTTCTTCTTTCCTTTTTCTCTAAATGCCACTCGATTCTACTTAAGATTCACTAAATCTCTGTCTCACTAAACTTTTGTCCTATGTGATTGTTCTTATCTGTGTTTTAAAACGTTTCTAAAGTGAAACATGATAGAGTAATTGACAATGCTTATACTATGGCTTACTGCTAGTTTGTCGAGGTAATATTGCTCTAAGAAACTTCACATTACATACCATTCTGCAAAAATTTCTCGAGTCAAAGAACTGGAATCGTGTTTTCTTCTTTCTTCTTCGTCTAATATTATGTTTCCTCTACAGTCACCTTTTGTTATTGCTTTTGTTGCTGCTCCTGCTCTTCCATGCTAACCTCATTGTGTAGTTTCAAATAATTTCTACATGTCTTCACTGTTAATTTCTAAGAGGAGCTGGCTCTAAGCATAGGCAACACAGACAAGCTGCTCAGGGCGCCAATTTTGGGAAGACAAGAGCTAAGTTTTTCTTCCAAATGATAACTAAATAAATTCATATTTTGCTTTGAATTATTAATATGTTTATTTTACACGAGATGCCGTATGTTTAATTTACACGGGACTGGACTGATCCTGTACTACAATGAAAATGCTGGAGCCAGGGCTGCTTTCAAGCTTATGGTTTTGCATAAAGATACAGTATCGTTAGTAAGTAAAACAATCCTTAATGTCAAAGCCCTCAACGTTTTTTCAAGGCAATATAGCCATCATATCCTCTACTTCGTACGCATAGTCTTGTGAATTACTTACTGCTGCGCTTCATCACTGAAAATTAAGCAATGGGGAATGTTAAAATATATCTCCAGAAATCTTTGACTGTTAATTTTGTATTAGTAATTATCTCAAAATACCTTTGAAAATCATCAAATGCCGGCTTGCGTGCTTAATTATTCGAAATGTCGTTGGTCACCCGAGAAATGTTTTGTTCAGAAATGAGTCGTAATCCAATTTTTTCGTGATGAGACATGATTATGACCCGAAGTTCCACTTAAATTGAAAGGTATATGTTGAATAGCATACGCATAGCAGAAATGAATAAAAATCCATGCAGATAATGTAGTGATAAATTAACATCACGCAATAGATTAAATAGTTGTCTTTCTATCCATATCCATATTTATAGTTTCTTTCGATTCAAATTTTGGTGATCAAATTAAAGTGATCATAATACGCCAAGTTTTAAAACATATCTTCATTTTCAATGCCTGAAATTTTTTTAAGAAGAAAATTGAAAAGAGTTAGAAAGATTTGATTTGATTAGAAAGATCTGAAGATTTAGACTTGAAAAGTTTTCTGTTTGAGATTTTTTTACGGTGGTAGGAAAATAAGTAAATCTTTGACTGGGATGATATAAATTATAGAAAAACTATGCATAAATATATACGAAATTTTAATCTTTTACCAATAAAATAATACTTTTTAAAACAATTTTTAGAAATGTAACTTGCAATATCTACTTAAGTTTTTGATGAGACACCGAAGTATGTGCAGGAACCAGACAGGTGAACCGTTAAAATAACCCTTTATTAAAACTCTTTAAAATTCAAAATGGGTTGACTTGACGCTAACAAACTACGCCTCACTCGGACGGTAACTCAACTAACAAGAACTAAACTAAAAATTCAAAGATATTAACAAGCAGTAGAATTTTTCTACAGGACTCAGATAATCCTGTTACTTAACACCGCATCGAAGTCTAGTGGCAGCAAAGTAATAGCTGTTACGCCCCTTTAACCCAGCAATAAATGCAGAACCAGAAGGCTCACGCTGCAAAGGTACAGACAGTGCTTGCCCCACACTCTCTAACTTCCCCTTCTAAAACTCAGTATTTAAACCTTTTCTCCTTGTGGTAGAACTTCTACATCAAATAGGCCCTGAGCCCTGTTCACACACACAAGTACTTACGTCTAACTTAATTACAATACAAATAACTCCTTTTACATATATTTCTTCCGTTGTAGAATCCATCATACTTGCTCATTAGGGCATTGTTCTTGTCCTTCCATTTTATGAATACATGTTTCTATCAAAAAATAAATAACACTTTATTTCACAATACATTAACCCTTTTATTGAGCTTCTAACCAACTCTTTTATTTACTGTAGCTTTCTTAAGTTTACCTAACATTACGGTTTTTACGGGTCACATTTAGTCATTACACATTCATACTTTAACTTAAGCTTAATCCCCTTTTGGCTTTCCACAATGTATGATGAAAATTTTTTTGCAATAATTCAAAGTGTTCTAACGTTCCACCTATATGCATATCAACTTGTTAGCACATAGCAAACTTCTTAGACACACCCTAAATCCAATTCTTAATTTTCTATGAGCTAGCAAAAATAAAAATCAACAAGAGGGTAGGTGGAGAGTCCTACAAAACACATGCATACTGAATTTTCCCCACATTCGGGCTAAAACACATGCAAGCTTTCGCTCAAAATCGCATGATTTGACTTGGATAACTTTTCGTTTGTACTTTTAACTTTTTCTGGTGAATACATTAACTTTTAAATACATTAACTTTACATTTTGAGGTTTTAGCACTAAATACTTATTATATATGTTCTTTGAGTTTTAAACCTACATTTGCAGCATCATTTACTATAACACAACAGATGTTTTTACATTTTACAATCAAATAATAGAGTACAGAAAAAATTTTACTTGACGCCTTTTCTCGCCAAAAGTGTGAACCTAAAAACAAATTTTCATTAACAAGTTTTAATACGAAGCTGCTTGTATCAGGCCAGAACTTTGGCGAGTTAACAGTCTTCTTTTGACAAAGAAAACGAACTACTTGTTCTTTACATTAACATTACATTTTTAGAATGCAATATAGCTTTTTGCATAAAGATACAGTACGTAAATAAAATAAAACCAAATAAAACTAAAATAACTTTAGTCCTCAACCGAGGCAAATTGAATTATATAGTAACTTTGTATTTTAAAATTTTCATGTAACTTCACAAAACAAAACAGATTTATTGAAAAATTCATTTATCTTTGTCTTTCGTTGCTTGGTACTCTATCATTCTTTTGTTGCAAAACTCCTTCCAGGTCATATTGTTCATACTGGTAATCTTCAATCTCTTTCCACAGGTTGGGGTCGACCCTTCCTTCTTTCTACTCTGAGCATCCTTAGCGCACAGAACAGATGACAGCTTGATAAAATTTATTTTCACAAAAGACACACTTTATAATTCTGGACTTTTTTACAAAAGAACTCCATGCATTTCTTCTCATTATGACAGAGCAGAATCAGTAGTTACCATTTCAAACTACCTAGAACGTTAAATCCACCGCAATGCAAAGCGCATTCAAAGAGCGAAGGTCGCGCAGAGATCTCTCAATGATACGAACTCTGAACTAATATATGAGAGCTAATGCTCTTTTCGATCTTACACAGATTTTACCCGGCAGCCGAAACATTTCCAGTACCTTCGATTTCTCGAAATTACTCGAATTCATATACAAGGTCTGTCATCGAAATTACTGGAATTCATATACAAGGTCTGTCCCAAAAGTAATGAACCCAACTTTTTAGAGAAATTTATTGAACTGATTCGTACAATTACTCAATATTCTTCGCAATACATCCCTCCTGCTTTAACACACTTGTTCCAACGCGATTCGCATGCTTTATATGCGTCCTAGAAGTCCGTCACAGGGATGTCCGTTAGTAACCTCGCCGTGGCCGCCTTGATGTTCTCCAGGGTCTCCAAATGCTGTCCTCTGAGGGATTTTTTTTATCTTCGGAAACAAAAAAAAAAAAAGTCGGATGGGGACAAATCAGGACTGAAGCAATGCAAAAGTCTCCGGTAGCGTTTTCTCAAGTTTGAAACAAAACTTTGCATATCCCTGCTCGAGATTTTTTCCATCTTTATTTCGACCGAGCATTCACACAAGGGTTCGCTGAAACAGGCACTGTGACTTTCTAGGAACTCGGAGCCAACTGGCGCTGGTCGCGCTGTGTTCCCAAGACTCCACCCACCCTTCCATGCAAGCGGTAACGCTGTGCGACGGATAGTCGCGGCAGAAGAAAATGGGGCTCATTACTTTCGGGACAGACCTTGTACAGTCACAGTTACATATAAGATCATGTAGGCCATTTTCTCTGAAGTAGAAGACTTGAAAAATGTGCAATGTCCTCATTGGGTGTCGAACCCTGGACGTCTGGAATACGCGTCGAGTATACTTCCAATTACACCATGAAGGCATGTGGGAAAAAGGGAGAAAGTATCTCATAACTGGGGGGGGGCAGTTAAATAAAGTGATCAGATTAACTGCAGTTGCACAGAGATCGAACAAAAATGTCGCTAAATCACTGCCAAATTTGAACATTTCTGGAGATTTCTCGCTAAATTTGGCTATAAAATTAGTCAGCAAAAAAATCGCCAGCCTGGCGCTATATCACTAATTTGGCGAGATAACCATCTATTTTAATGTTAAATAGACGTCCACCATGTAACTTTATTTTTCTGGCGAAGCTTCACACTCTTGAGGCCTTTCATGCTACATTATATAAGAGATACTACAATTTTAAACATAATTTCACTAAAATTCTTTACATGTACACAAAATTCGTAACAATATGTATATATACATACACTGGTGAACAGTTGCTAAGGACTCATCACAAACGGCTATATATCGCGAAAACAAGTGTGGTTATAGGATAGTATTTATGGCCACATAAACTCTACGAGATCCTATTAAGGAGCTTGATGACTTCTAGCACAGGCTTTAATAATACCAACACAGAAGAAGGGTAAAAATAACTCTTTATTATTATCAAATATGAACAGAAAGTCACGCACTCCGTGCTTACATTAACACCGACAACTTGCGGTGGAACTTAAGAATCATTACATGATAAATTCAAGGCTAAAGAGTAGTGCTGGACTAGCGCGTTAAGTTAAGGCTAACTAGGTTGAGTGGACAACCTACCAGACGTGATAATTATTTAAATGGACGAAAAGGTGTATCAGCAACTTCACGTACAGCAAGGATATATTCTTAACGTGCGCTGGGTAGCGAAAACACACTCTGAATAAACAAGATTCATCCGTTTAAATACTCATTTCACTTAACTTTAAATTTGCATCCTGGCGAGGAATTGCAGGGGGAAGCTGAAAAATTCAGAAAAGATAACAAATATTTGAATAACTGGTTAATTGAACTAGGAAACCCTGCATGGTTGGATATAACAATAAAGTTAAGTTCTTGTGCTCTGAAATCCAGAAGGCTTTGAAAAGTGTTCAAGAGACAAAAGGGTCATTTTGTGCTGAATACGTAAAAGTAAAGAAAAATACATTTACCGCCCGCACGCATTCTGGCATATGATGTCAATACGGAATGCGGCCACCATGGAGGACGATGCAAGATTCCATATGTCGGGTCATGCTTTGCATAACATTATCCAACAACTGTTGCAATGAGCAATGTTTCTGGATAATGAACTGTAGTAATGAGATAAATTATCCCAGCAACTGTTGAGATAATTTATCTTATTCCTCTGTCAGTGCACGAATGAGGGTATCCTTGTTTATTGGAAAGCATTGTCGACCAGAAAGATTCCTCCCCAAAGCATCCCAAACGTTTTCAATGAGATTCAGCTCAGGAGAATATCTGGCCATACGAGACGTTGAATATCCTCGTTCTTTACGCACTCCTAGACAGCGGTTCTTCGATGATATGTTGCGTTGTCGTCATTAAAAAAATTGATCACTAACAGCACCATGTAACATGTCAATATGAAGCAGCAGAACATCATTAATGATTGTTGACCAGTCATAGTCTCAGCTGGAAGCACACAGAACGATGTACGGCCTTTGATCCTGATTGCAGCTCATACCACGACACTACACGTAGGATGTCGGTTCCTTTCCTATATGTCTGCCGGACTATATGCAGTATCATTCTCACGCCAGATCAACTGGCGTCTACAGTCCGAGGACAAACTGAATCTACTCTAACCTGAGATTAGTACACAAGGCCAGCCATCTTCCGTTCAACTGCAATGATCACGACAGCATTGCAAATAGGCGGAACAGTGACGCCTAGACAATGTAATGCACACAACAGGACGGCGGGGGTATAGTCCTCCTTGGTGCAAACCACTGGCTAGTTTTTCGAAGATTCGCTTCCTAGTAGCAGCAAATAACTGATTTACTTCCTCAATAGGAGATCCACAAACAGTGCTACCTCAGTAGCTGGGTTTGTGGTGAAATTAGAGGTGACCCAAACAAGATCATAAGGTCTATTTTTATATTAGGTGGATCGAGTCGTTCTCTCTCATTTTTACCTCAGTAGCTGTGATGCGTTAGTTCCTTTTCCTTGATAGTACTATGCATCTGTCTTCTGCAGACCTTTTACTGCGAACACGATCTCCCCCGTGATATTTGTTTGAAATGATTTCCATAACTTTCAAATAACACTGTGGCTGACATCGAACCCCCTAACCGGATCTGTTATTTTTCGCCCTTCTTCAATCCTGCCAATAACACGACCACACGTAAAATCATTCAGGTGGCGTTTGGAAGACATACAGAAAATTGCAAGTTCATCAATTGATTCTTTACTGTTGAATTTTGCTTTTGAACAACAGCGGTCAATACGCGTCAAATCTTTTATATCTCTTATTAGTGCTGTCACATAACAAAACAACTTAGGTTATCCAAAATTTGCATAAGCACAACACGTCTTACTGTATCCCGTGCTTATACTAATATCCCCATTTTCGTGCCTTCCATTTTATAGGTGCTGTCGCTGCTACTGTAATCTGTCCTTAGCAATTGTCCACCAGTGTATATATAAATACTTTTGGTTCTGCCGATTGCAATAAAAAAAAGGGAGACGTACAACCAGATGTTGTAGCAGTACCACACATAAAATTTGAGTCTTCTACGACTAATAATTTGAGTTATGCGAGATACATATTACGTAAAACATACAGATGTCACGAAAGAAGCCATTGCCATTTTAAATCAATTTTAAATCCATGCTACATTTCCTTTTGGAAAAAGAGATCCCTTTAGTCTGTCCGAATGTCACGCCTAAAACTGTGGTTAAATTGGATTCGGAAATGGTCAAAATTAATATTTCTGTTGAAATATGTTACCTAAAAGTTTTGCCTATTAAAATATTTCGATTACTTCGTAAAAGAAAAGGAAATATCATAGTTTTTATATTTCACTTTAAAATCATTCGACTACGTTAAAAGCAAAATTCTAATTAGTTCACAGAAGCTTGCATTAAGTTTTGCTTTCAGTTATATCATTTATTCAGTTCTAACAAGAAGACATGAGATTGAAGCATAATACATTCCAGTATTTTTCAGCAAAATCGGTGAATATGTGACATGAAACTGTGTTCTAAGTTTTTTTTTTTTTTTAAATTAAGGAAAGATTGCGATTTTACATTTGAAACTATTAATTTGAAAACTTTTGAACTACATCTTTAGGTAATGATACCTCGAGAAAGAAAGATCATTACTGATTTAAAGAAGTGCGATTTCAAATCTATGCATCAACATTTTCAAAAACTGTCTGAAGCTAAGAAGAAACGTTCAAAGAAACAAATCGAAGTCAGATATTTTTTTAAAATTTCTCTTACTTAAAATTAAGAAGCTATAAATTGTGTTACATATATTTACATATAGCGTGCTGTAAATAAATGCATTATTTACAAACCTTTTGAGTGATTAGATTTAGACTAATAATTTTAAATTAGGACTGAAGGATATACGGTAGGATTCTACGACAATTTAATCAAGTTAAACATATTAATAAAAATATGCAAAAAATATATTTACAGACTATTCATAAGAAAGCCTTAATTAACAAGTCTTCACTTATCCTATTAAAGAAGTTCCTTATAAAATTTCAGTTTCCTAAAATTAAAAATTGACATTGAAAATGTTTTAAAATTTATGTGACTTATACTATTTTCACTTAACAAGAAGACAAAAATGGCGACTAAAGAGTAATATAACCTGAATTCAGGAAATGAAGAAAGTTTTAAATTTAACTTTTGCCCAAATGAAAATTTAAATTGCTTACATTTCTTTATTTTTTTACAAAAGTTATTTTTCAGAAAACATACCATAGAAAATTTCCTTTAGCAATAATTGTTAGCTGATCAAATCGTCGCTAAAAACAAATAACGATCGATAGCTAGGTTAATTTAAGTTTTTCTTAGTTTTAATTTAATTTCGTTCCTTAATTTAATTATTGAAACGTACTTTCTGTGAAGTTTTCTATTATAACGCTCACACAGAAAGTTAGGTTTTCAGTATTTTTATTAAAATGTGCAACATGATCAAACAATTATTTCAAAAATTTACTTTGTTTGACTAAACCGTGTGTCCACAAAAAAAGTATTTCATCATACAATATTCCTGAAATACGCTCTTATATATGTTATTTATTATTAACCACATGCAAAGGAGAATAATAATAAAATTTAATCATTTACTTTTAGGCTGATCGCAAAAGACAGCAAAAACTTGTTGAAAAGTATGGTTACTGCATCTTAAACGGATGCAAACAAAAAATTGGTAACTTCAGAATAGAGCCACCTGGGTTGTTTCGAGGTAGAGGAAACCATCCAAAAATGGGTCGGTTGAAAAAGAGGGTGAGGCCGGAAGATGTCGTCATTAATATTGGAAAGTAAGAACCTTTGATTTATACTTATATAAAAGTTATAAATTTTAATAAGAACCGGTTTCAGACATAAGCATTTTTTAACTAAACAATCACTTTGCTTTTCATTTCATGCCTATTTGTTAAGTAAAAATCTTAGATGCAGGAATAAAAAAAAATAGTCCTTAATTTGTTTTAAACTTAAAACTTCTTACAGACACCCAGAGGCATTCCGTTTCATAAAAATCAGTATTTGATTTCTTATGCGTAGTATGTAATCCCTATATAGTCCATGGATTTTTAACTTATACTCATAATGCATTCATTATATTACATATCGAATCAGTCAAAATAATATGCACAATTTATGAATATTTTTGCTAGAAGATTAAAGCAGTTTCTTAAGGTAACAAATGTATAATACTTCGTTAGATTAAAGTTAACATTTTATTTTCTGATTATGAATAATGTAAGGAACTTCCGAAATACAATGCTTTGCAGCTTAGGTAGTTTTATGAGCTGTCATTCTCCATGCGGAATTTACTTCCTACTTACACTTGAGACTCTCATTTTGAATGAAATGTTTCTCTTTCGATAGGAAGTCAACACCAGACTGTGGTAGTTGATTTGTTACTTGCCATATAATCCACTATATTTCCATTACTTGAAACAAAGAGATGAGAATAATTAATTAACTTTTACAAACAATTCAATTAGTTCTTTTATGTTTGGCACTCCGGTGATCACTTGAACTTCCTTTTGGGAAAGTGAACGTATTAATCAGTGCTCCATGGGTGCAGATGGATGAAAGACGCTTCAACTCCATTTGGTCCTGTAACACGAATTACGCGTATCGGTGGATATCACTTTATGTATATCTTCTACAAAACATGCGCTAACTTTCTTTAACAGCAAAACTGAACTATTGCAATATATTCAGTTTTTTAAAAAGTTCTCAGAAATACGCTTCATATGTCATTTTCGCGATTTTATTAAAAACACGAATAATAACAAGAATTATACACTACCTCTGTAATATAATAACAGATCACTAAAATATCGTACTGTTTCTTTTAATTTCAACACATATAGAGTATGCGAACAAACTTGCATGAAAAGTTAAGACAGGAGATATAAGAAATTTTATGCAGTATAATACTAATCTATTATTGCATCATTGCCGTAAGCTTACTTATGGCATGGGGCATTTTTGAAGCATCAAGGCAGGATGACATGAATTGAAGGTAATGATATAAATGGCTCTAAAGACAATGAAATTTTATTCCTTTGTTTGCATTACATGCTTAGTTTTAAAATTATTAATTTAGTCCTAAGTTTATGTAATATAAGTACAAACAAGCTTATCCTAGAGGTCCTTCATTAAAGCATCCTTATTTTTTAATAAGTTCCCTCGTGTGCTTTGCCGTATTCGACTAACAAAAAACATCGTTATAAATTATATTCATGGGAATACTTCGGAACCTATCCTTAAGTACATAATTAGTAGAGTTATACGTACCGATCGCAATTTTAAACAACTCTGAATAAAATAGTGTGATGAAAAAACATTTGTTATCGTTAAATTTAAGATAGGAAGAGTAGAATGGTCAGTCACTTCCAAATGCACTGTGCTAATTTCTTCTATCTAAAAAAAAAAATTACCATAATATTAATTTTATTTATATAAAAACAGTATTTATGCAATAGTAGTGTGTTTTTGTAACTATGAAAATTGTTTATCTTCCATCATACAATAATACATTATTGATACCTAAATTGATATTAATGGGCATACTGAATACCTGTGATAGTCTTACGAAATGTTTTTAATAAATAAGCTCATGTTATCTTTCAAGTATTAAGTTGAAATATAAAAGACAATATTATAATTTATTTTTTAGAATTTAAATTGGTTATTTAAATGCATTTCAGGAATGTTAAAACTCCCAAACCATCTGTCCCTGGCAAGTGGAAGGATGTGATATCTGATAATACAGTTACATGGCTAGCCCATTGGGTGGATAATATTTCGTCTAAACACAAATATGTGTTTCTTAATCCTAGCTCGTCTATTAAAGTAAGTTCCTATTAAATAATCATTAAGTCTTAAATAAATTTATTCTTTTAATAAATTTATTAATTAAAATTTGAGTTATAAAATTAAATACCAACGAATATTTTTCTTATCCAAAATGAAGTATAAAATGTCTATAAAGTTAAAATAGTTACCACAAGATAATTCATTTATTAAAAAAGTGTACACTAAATATTGGAATATGATTACTACTGAGAAATTCCATTTTAAGCATCCTCGTTTAGTTTAAAATTGACATGGAGAAATCTATAAAATATCGTGCAATTTTTAAGTTTTAATTGAAAAATTAAAATCTAAATTATATAAATGATAAATTATTAAATACATTATTGCTTATTACATAATCTTTCTAATTGAATTACATAAATATCACAAATATACAAGTTAAATTAGTTCCAATTTTAGAAATTTACTACATAAACTATCTACTTCAAAATATTCATATATGATCATATTATTTATATTTTTATAATTAATAACCTACATTTTTCTTTCATAAATAAATACTTTATATTTTCTCTTGAAATATTAAAAAAATATTCTTCTCTAGTAGAGATTGTCTGTGTGCATTCACACAAATAATGTATAAACAATGCTAACTATCTTGATATAAATCTTGATAACAAGCTTACTTTCAGAAACTACTTTAAGAAAATATGTGATAAATTCAACAACACAATTTGCAACATATTTCTGCTCCATGAATGTCACAGAAAGCTCTACATAAAGAATAAAGTTATTCCATACAAGACGGTTCTTCGCCCTGCTCTTCTCTATGTGTCTGCTATCTGAAGTTCAACAGCAAAAATCATTCTTCACCAGCTGCAAATTTCCCAAAACAAAACATCCCGCACGACTGACAACGACCCTCGGTACATAAGGAACTCTGGCATTTACCAAGACAAATCAGTACATTAATTACTACTTAAAAAATAATGACATTAATTTCTACCTCTCGGCCAAAGACCGATAAAATTCTATTATCTCTACACAAAAGAACAACCCATTCCCACTGAAAAATATGCTTATACCGCAAATATTTTAATCATATAACTTTTCGGCGGTTCCGAGTTTAAGCAATAGTTTCTTTCGGTCGGTCATAAATATGTAATTCAAACAGTTTTTTTGTGCCCATTGTAGAACGTAACTGGAATGCAAGCTGAGTCTTTGATGACCATCAAAAAGTTAATTCCTGTTTTTTCATAACTGTACTCCATTTGACTTCTCTCAGTCCGCTTTTCGCAGTTTTTGTGACCACATCTTTGGCTCTCTGAAGTAGGTTTTTATCCCCTCTCTGCAAAATTGCCTTTGCTAGATTGTCGTAAACATTTGATCAGATCTCAGTACGAGTATTCATTTACCAGCCCAATAGTTTCAGCTGAGTTGCATCCTTGCTTTCTTACTGATGGTCTTTACAACATAATTTGGACTTCAAGCGGAACAAAGGGACATTTGCTCCCGTTACTCCATTTAACATATGCTCAAATCAGTTTGGAAAGAACAGAGCAAAAAAGGAGAAAGGGGTAGAGGGAACAGGAGTAATTTATAAATGAATTATTAAAGGTGCAAATTCACGTACTAATTACTCATTATTGTCATTATCATTGATTTTCGCAAACATTAGCAAGAAAATATGAAACTTATCTATTAAATTAGCATTACAAGTGCAATTGTTCCGTAGGATAAAAAACATGGACTGCATTCAATTCATTCTGTCAAACACGATTTAATTTAAATTATTCAAACTATTTAATTTTATTTAAATTAATTTTATTAAAATCATTCAAGCCATTTGGCATACATAAAGCTGCAGATTAATCACAAAAATGAAGAATTTAACTGTGTCCAAAAATATTTGGAATGTCTAATATTATAAGGTAGTAGGGAAGACACACGTATGTTAGCACATAGTAATCCGTCCATGCAACCACTGATCACTTTTTCACTACAACTACTTTTAGTTTGCGGACGGTACCGGTGTGCCATGTGCTAACTTCCTTGATAGCTCGCATGCATCAACAGAAATTATAACATTTAAGTAATTTTTACCAAACGCTGAGTAAAACTCATTTATAATTTTCAATATTTCATTAAATACGGGATTATTTGCATCATTTTTAGCCTTAGCTGCATTATTAGTTTGGCATTTTAGCATTTTCATTACGTTTGTTAAAGAAATATTCAGTTCAGCAGCAAAGGTCAGAGCCGGTGCAGCAATGGTGGTTTTAACACTTTTAGAAATTTCAGGTTTGTCACCTTGAAGGGCTTTAGGAAAATTAATTCCGGGCCTTATGATATTTTCCTTAGCTGGTCTATTTGTGGGAAATTTACGACAACCTCAGTATAAAGCCGAGTATGCCCCCATATTGTCTAAGTATCAGTAAATAATGCTCGTTTAAATGCAATAATATATCATGGTTCATATATGGAACAATATGTTACGTCGCTTGCATAACTTTTATGTTCTTTAAGTAGGATACCAATTCCAGTTGTCCGTTAAAAAATGGTAGGGGCCTGAAGTAGAACTTTCGCTTGTCCAATTTTACCCCAAATCTAATCACCTCTTTATTTTACACTTACATCGGATTTGAATAAATGAATATATAAATGCACAAAGCTTAAATACGGGGAACAGAAATTTATTGAATCTTGGTTTACAAGTCATCGTGGACGAAACACTCCTTATACACATGGAGACTTCGTTGTAAAAATAATAAAACGTGTTGTTGGGACCCTTATTCATTCTTATCCACTGAAAACTCAGCATAGAATTTTGGACCAGAAACACTACTTCCCTTATCTATGCATACAGGTTAGCAGGAGGTAAAATTTCTTTAAAATTAAATAATTTCATATACATTGCTAAATTTTATAACATGAGATTATAATATTTTTAACTTCACAAATTTGAAATAGTATTTGCAATACGGTATGTAAAAGTGATTTATATTCCTTTTTCAGGGTAAAAGTGATTTCGAAAAATACGAATTGGCAAGAAAACTGAGCCGGTACATTAAAACTATACGCAGAAAATACATGAGAGGCATGAATGCCAAGGATCCTGAAGTGCAGCAGATGAGTGTTGCGTTGTTTTTAATTGATCAGGTACCGATGATTTAAATTTATTTCAGTTTCCTACTAAATTTTAAAGGAGTATTGTAAAGCTTCATATCAAAATACTTATTTCGAAAATGCAGATTTACTAAATATTAACTTAAACATTCAACAAAATTAAGCATCGTAATAAAGTCCCGTAAGAAAAACTATCAATATAATAGTTGGAACAAATATATTAAGTATAATTTTGGTTGAGTTGTCTGCAAGAGTTAAAGATACAATTAGCACGCCTAGGAATACCTCAAATTTTATTTGGAATTTTTCACAGCCTTTGGATTGTTTCAATAGTTTTCGATGGATAGTTGTCTATGTTTCGATAGTTTCGACCCAAACACTAAGGGATCAGGATAATCTGAGTTACATAATTTGTCTTTAATACTAGCTAAGAAAATCGAACTGCTAAAAACAAATTATTATATTTTTAGGGAAATTAAGGAAAATATTACCTTAAAAAGCGTACGGACTACTTAATGTCTTGCAAAATACAGCTAATCTCGGTTTCAATGAATGGGTGATCTCGCTTGCAAGGAGATTGCGGCCTGTTGGAAAATAGCTTTTGTCATACAGGTTTAACTGATCCTGTTATAGCTAACAAATGGATTTAATTTTTAAAGTAAGAAATGTTGGAGCCTTTAATGAGACTTGGTAAAAAAAAGAATTACGCCTGTACCGTAGCAGCATAAACAGCAGCCAATCACTAGAAAGAAATGAAGCAAAATTTGTCCTTTGCCGAGAGAACATGCTGAAGATATTTCAATCTTTGAGACCATATCTTATTTTCTTTCTTTTTCTTACTTAGAATGCATAAAAATTTTAGGAAATTTAGAATGAAAACATGCAAAAAGAAAATATATAATTACTATAGCATGAGTGGTTTAGGTAGAAGATTCATCATTTGCAAAATGTAATAAAATGCCTAAATAATAATGAATATTTCCGTAATTTTTCATTGTGAAATATTCACTTATTTACTTTTCAAAATTGTTAAGTAAATTGTCTGGGCTTGTTGGAACTACCATATCATCCACATGCAGCGGAATATAAACAAATCTTCCTTTATCCTGCATGGTTTATAAGGATCATTATGGCATTGCTGAAATCCTTCACTTAAAGGCACTTCATTAAGTGTTTTTTTCCATTCTTTTGTTTCTTGTTTGAGCCTACAAAAGTTCCTTACAAGCTTGAAACTTTTATTTTTACCACCTTCTTCAAATGTGGCCGGTTGCTTCATGATAATCATGTATATCATGCGCAGGGTGGGCGTTAAAGCCGGTGCAACCTATGCAGCCCTACCGGGCAGCAAAATATTTACAATTTAGGGAGGAACCGGGCATCAGAATTTCGGAAATGCAGAGTTTGTACCTGACGGCAAAAACTCTAGCGCCTGACCATGCGTTAAATTCCCATTTAAGTATGTTGTCTGGATATCGTGATATCCCACTATCATTTTTATTTTGCTTGCTACAATAAGAAGCATTCTCTTATAGCTATAGAAGTAAATGCTTCATTAGAGTCGTATCTACCGGTATTCTTGAGGAACTATTCTTGCTTTATAACGACAGAAACTTTCTTCACTGTCTCTTTTAGTCTTATACACCCACTTACAGCTGCATCCTATAATAGTTTTATCTTCGTGAGCATTTGTCAATATCCACACACCATTCATCTGTACAGCATATGCCATTTCTTCTTGTATGGTTTGCTTCCATGTTTCCTTAGTACAACCCGAGCAAAGATTCATGGTACGATGTTTGATCTATTGCTTTTTATGACAACTAATTCTATTTTTAAATCGCGTTCAACCTAGTTTCTAAAACTGTTATTAACGTAGCAAGGTTATCGCACAAAGTACTAAAAATAAATGCAACCAATAAAGATTTAGAAGTTTTCTCACCTAACGAATAGTTGACCATCCATAACTACCATTTTTATTAGGTGATCCCTCATTTTTTCTTTACTGCAAATTACAGTGTCTTTTCATAAGTTCAATTTTGCTTGCTGCGATGACTTACCTTTGTATTGCCTAAAACATACTGTATGTTTTCTTAGTAGTCGTTTACTTTCTAATATTGGTTATCTTCTAATAAAAGCCCTAAAGTTGCTTTAGCTTTCGCGTCTTCCGATAACCATTTTGCTGCTACTGAAGTTGGAGTGTCTGCGGTGATATTGCTCATAAGATCTCCTTAAGCAGCAAGAGTTCGAGTTTGAATTTTCATGTGTAATAAATGAGATAATTAAGTTTCTCGAATAAACGACTGTATTCACAGTTCACCGATTTTTAATCCGAATTATTGATTATTATACATAGTAGAAAGACTTATGAGGACCAACCCTCATATCCTGTAACATTTAATTTATTGCAAAATGGATTTCAAAATAGTGTTTATTTAAAAGAACATAATAGCATGAACGTAGATTAAAACGATCATTGCGTTTTAATTGAGTTCTAAGAACGCAATCAAAAGAGCATATATCCACATATGTAACAGCGCTCTGACAGACACGAAAAAGAAGATAAGAAAGAAAAGATAACATTAACCATCTGAGAACTTTTTATTTTCACAAAGAAAGAATTTTCTATTGCAGTAACTTAAGATAAAGCAAAAGAAATTCCTCTCTGTACTTTACAGCTCTTTAGGAAATTTGCTTATTGATTTCATGGTGAATGATCGACACAGCTTCTGGCCAAAATCCTTTTTCCATCAAATACTAGTATATATATAAAAAAAGATTTTCTGAATTTCTATCTCATGTCAGAAGTGAACTAACTCATCAAGCATTCGTCAATCAAAACATATTATCAAAATTTGTGTGTTAATCAATGGTCTTATAAATCTAAGTTTCTTATTATTTGTCATTGTGCAAATTAAATGTGGAATAAAACGGAAATTCATCAATGCAAACTAGAAATTTCATCTCAATTACGCATGCAAAATACGTCTTGAACACAAACTAACACATTCACTTGAATGTTTTACAGTAATTAATTTTCTAATATTAGGTATTAAACTTCAGAATTAAATTACTGGATTTATTTTGCAATTTTTTTCCTAATAATGTGTTATTTCATTATTTTATTTACCGCTGTATATTAACATTTATCGCATATGAGAAAAGTGGAGTGTACCGGATTTTGACGCTCATCTTATAATTAAATTTTTGAACTACTGTTTTTCAAGGAAAATATCATAATAACTAATATATATATATATATTCTTAACAGATATATCTTCAGCTCCAAATTCCATTTTCGTAAATTTTGAAATTTAATCTCATTAGTCCTATTATATTATATTATATTCAGTCAAAAATAGCATTTTTAGGATTTAAATCAAGTTCATGTTCAAATTTAAATTCAAATTCAAGTTCATACAAGAATAAGTAATTATGCCTTTCCCTTGTGTGCTCTCGTGATGTAATTGACACCACATCTGGGAAACAGTCGAAACATCGTGGTTCGAATCCTAGTAAGGGCATAGCTGGTTTTTCACGCTTCGGGCTCCGAAAATAATTTATAAATTTTCAATGCACTAGAACTAAAATATGGCGAATGATAATTCGTCACGACGTAGATTTGGCTAATTTGATCTCGCTTCCGTCTCTTCGATTGCTCTAAGGAGAGAACATAGGAAAGTATATCCTCCTTTCTCTCTCCCACAGTGCGTGCTCTCATGATATAACTGGTAGCACGCCCGGCTAGCACTGAAAGAATCGCAATTCAAATCCACTTGAGGGTATAGTCGATTTCGAACTTTTCCTGCTCTAGAAAAATCCAAATTTGCTTACAGTGGCACTCCAGTAAAATAAAGTGGATAAGTGATCATCAGTTGGATGTGTCAGACCAGATTTAATTTTTTTCTCCCCAGTTGTGTTTTAAGTGGGGCAGAGTATAAGAAATTGCCTTTACTCGTGCGTACTCTCTTGGTGTAACTGGTATTACGTTCAGCTAACAATTGGAAGGTCCGCGCTCGAGTCCAGCGAGAACATGGTTTATTTTTCAATGCCCCAACTTCCGAAAAATACTAATAGCTCTGTGTAATCAAGTTCGAAGGTCTCTTCTTGCTACCCAAAAATTAAGCATGACTTTTTCGCAGTAATTTCGGTTATTAATTGCCTTTATTTTAAAGTGTCATCAGTACTAAAATATACATACAATCAATGTATTAAAGCAAATATTCAATTCATGTGAAAATTTCCATATTGTTTTTGACATTCTGGTAGGTATAGAAGTCATCTATTCGTGTTATTACCTTTATGATATACTAATACAGTAAGCCTTCGTTAACACGAATACCAAGATACAGAAAAATTAACAGTTCATGTTAAAAAAAATCATGTTAACTAGTGATTCAAATTTTATTTTTGGAATAGTTCTTCCCACATATTAAAAATTTACTGTGAATAGGTGCACATACAACAATATTTTATGTATGTCGTCAGTGAAATCACTACAGTAGTACATGAATTACTGTACCTGTAACTTAATATGGGTAAATTCGGAGCCTAACTTGTAACGTCTGATTTTGTATTCATTCAAGTGACTAGCATTATTATAAGCAAGTGATTAAAAAGTGACTAGCATATGAATGCTGTCGAGCAGATGAATTACGACTATTCCCTATTTAGTGTTTAGTTCCATGCAATTGAATTTTAGTACTTTCCCTTTTTATTATTATGAACAAGATTTTATATTAATCTCCTCCAATAGTTGATCCATTAGTTTATTTACTTAATTATCATCTTTGTGCAACCATTTGCGTTAAGAAATGGCCGAGTGATTTCACGCTTCCAATTAATAAGACACTTACTTCATCCGTTCTCGGTGATTCAAAGGCCTGGTTGCATAGATTGTTCACACTTTAGCACATGTATGACGCTATTATGAGCCAGTTTCCTTAAGGAAATCCTTCACTGTTCTAAGCAACTCTCCCCAGATGCGTTTTTCCTCGAGTGCTTTGCGATAATAAATAACAGAACTTGTAGCAAGTCCGCTAAAAGAATCTGGTTTCTAAATATATGGTATAAGTATTATGTTAACATTATAGCAAACAATCTGAGCAGAGATTTTAAAGACATGAATCTATTTTCTTCTTACTTGCAATATTTATTTAGAACAAGGGTTCTCAACCAGGGGATTGTGATCAGCCTTTTATTTATAAATTTAGCATTTTTCGAGTGTTAGAAAAGAGGGGAGGAGAGGAATGATCTAGCAATGGTGAAAGCTTTGTATGGCTCTAAAAAGGTTGAGAACCATTGGTCTAAACCAAGAAATTATTAAATAATAAATTGCAAATTTATGCTTTATGTTAGCATCTGCAGTTATAAATTATTTCATTCGACGATCATATCAAATTTTGGCATTTGATATTTTATGTTAAATTTCAGTTAGCGTTACGAATCGGAAATGAGAAGAAAAAAGACACAGCAGATACAGTGGGCTGCTGTTCTTTGCGAAAACAACATATCAAATTACGAAAGAAGGGAAACAAAAATATTGTCGATCTCAAGTTTCGAGGTAAAGATTCAATGCTTTACAAAAGGTCCATTCCAGTAAAAAAATCAGTCTTTAACGCTTTAAAAAGACTAACATACGGAAAGTCTGCAAGAATAAAAATATTTGATGAAATTTCGGTAAGTTAAATTACAGTGATGTTTATTGTAAAAGTATACTGTTTTAAAGTACCTTAAGTTATGCAAAATTCTAGTACTCTGTGTATTTTGTTAATTACTGTTTTCATAATGCTAAAACTTTTCATAAAACTGCAACTTATGTGCTCATATAGCTCTATTAAGAGCGGATATAAGTATTATAATTAATTAACCTTGCAGAAAAAGTGTATTACAGCTTGCTAACAATTTGCAACATAGTACGAAAGGGCTTCTCGAGCGATATAGAGATGCTCAGGTGCTTCCTAACACATTAGTTAGGATACGGATTTTTATTTCCTCTTCTCAGAAATGTACCAAGCAGATAGATCCTAGCTGGATTTTCACTGCGAATTTAGTTCAGTGCTTACTGGGTTTTTGCATCCTTCGACGACTTTTCCATCAAGGTCTTTTGAGCACTTTATAGTGGTAAAACCTTTTTCCCATCATGTTTTTCATTAGTAAATATTCTACCTCATGTTTTTCAAAATCACCAACTATATCTTTCACAATAAATTAGCTACCATATTTCTTCTTACTATCTATTCAGATTTATGATACTAAACATAAGAAGTCAAGTTAAATGAGTTGCTCGTTCTGGAGATTTGGGTAACTGACTGACTAATGGGAATTTCTGGATGTCTCTGATGTGTAACACATATGAGCCTAAGTCTGATATGAATTAATTAACGAAGTAGCTATGCTTATTATGCTATCATAAAATAAACGAAAATTTTAATATCTTTTATTCCAGAGGTATTTTAATTCCCAAAATGCAGTAATACCTAATCATTTTATTGTTATAAAAGAATAATTCTCTCTCAATCTAAATTAATGAAAATTCTATTTTAAACAAATAGTGTTTTAATTGGTACATATTTCTTCGCATTTCCTTTAAAAACGCTATCAAAAGATTATACTTCAGAATAAAGCTCTGAAGAATTCTAAAATACAATAAAATAAAAACTATTTCGATGTTCTCCTAACGAAAGAATATATGAAATTTTACAATTAAAATTGCCTAAAATAAGGAAATATTCGGAAGCTCTGAATACACTCTTAGACAACAACAAACAAAAAAAGGACACACCAAGGAGTTATTCCAATGGGACGAAAATCGGTAGAAGTGATTTAGATGTACAGAAAAAAGAAATGATTACAGTTTGAGAAAAATTGGATGATTTTTTTGAAGTGATAGAGCTTCACAAAGTGAAAAAGTCAGTAACGCGTTTGTCCCCCTCTGGCCTTTATGCAAGCAGTTATTCGGCTTGGCATCGATTGATAGACGTTGCGGATGTCCTCCTGAGGAATAGCGTGCCAAATTCTGTCCAGCTGGGTCGTTAGATCGTCAACATTCCTTGGTGGTTGGAGGGCCCTGCCCATAATGCTCCAAACTTGCTCAATAGGAGAGAGATCCGGCGACCTTGCTGGCCAAGGTAATATACAGCAAGCACTAAGGCAAGCAGTAGAAACATGTGCAGTGTGGTGGCGGGCATTATCTTGCTGAAATGTAAGTTCAGGGCGCCGTGACATGAAGGGCAACAGCCTTAGAACGGGCCTTAGAACTTCGTCGACGTGCCGCTGTGCTGTAAGGTTGCGACGGATGACAACCAAAGGGGTCCTACTATGAAATGGAATGGCACCCCCAGACCATAACTTCTGGTTGTCGGCCTGTCTGCCGGAAGACAGTCAAGTTGGTATCACACCGCTGTCCGGGGCGTCTCCAGACTCGCCTTCGCTGGTCATCGGTGCTCATTTCAAAGAGGGACTCATCACTGAAGACTATTCTACTCCAGTTAATGACATTCCAGTGCGAATGAGCCCGACACCACTGCAAACGGGCTTGACGTTATACACAGGTCAATGGTAGTCAGCGCAAGGGGCGCCGTGACCTCAACCCCCTTTCTGTGAGCCGTCTATGAATGGCCTTTGCGGTCACTGAAGTCACTGAGCTATTCGCCGATAAGACCAACCGGCTTTTTTGAGTCCACTACACGACCTCTCTCAAATTCTGACATCTGCGCATATCGTTCGCGGACCTGTATGCGAGGCATAGTTTACTGTCTACCAGAGTACACGGAATGAAATTCGTGAATAATTTATGACCTGAAATCGTAATTTCTCCTCTTAAATATCCTGCCAGTTGGGCAGATCAGATGCACTGTAGCGACAACCGTTCATTCATTGGCAGCCAAAATGTAAAATTTTGCATACTCCGTCGAAACCTGTATGCATATCAATTTATGTCCAATTTACTTTATATTTTCTCAGTGCGTCTTTTTTTTTTTTTTTTTTTTTTTTTTTTTTTGTCGTCTAAGAGTGTATTTCTAATATATTCTGCCTCTGCCGACATTTGTATGAATTTGTGTTTGTAAGTATAGAGGTCAGACGATATTCTGCTTAACAGCATAAAAAGCGTAAAAACTGCAACTGTATCATGCGTTCGAAATGGCATTTTGTGCTGAATCGCTATAAACGGCATATCACTTTTCCAGCTGTTGCCACCAAATATTATCGCCCTGTACTCTATTTAAAGAAATTAAATAATTAAGAATGTGCATGAATGTATGCATGTTTCTCGCATTGTGAAAAATCGGCGGTACCTGGTGGCATCAAATTTTGAATAACGTTGTCCTCCACCAGAATACGGACACCTGAAAGCCGGAATTTGTAATATGTAATTTTTTTATTATCTATTTCATATTTTCTAAAACTTTAACAAATTTCGTATTAACAAACTCAACAATTTTAATGAGAGCAGCTGCAACACATTCCTCAAGATGCATGTTTATCTCCACGTGCGAGTAAATCTATCGGGATTAAGATATGCTGTTTGTAAATATTTTGGGGGTTTTGCTGTTGAATGGAATTTTATGTGGCATAACTGCTAAGAAACGTGATATTTGATAATAAAGTAAACACACAAAACGCTAATAACAAAATTGCAAAAAAATTTGTAAAGCCATCTTAAAGAAAACTGAACTTTGATATGGTGAACTGAAAAAACAAAAAAATTAGAGAAAAATGGATGCCAAAAATAGGATAATAATAATAGACAAATAATAATATATAATAATATAATAGGATAATAATAATAGACTGAACTAACTGGTTCTGTTAGACTTTACATCCTTATCAAGCTCCATTAACCAGTGCCATTTAGTTTTAAGTAATATACTGAAATATGTCTAGATGTTACATACAAATGTTTCCCCTTGCAGTTAATGAATTTGCCAATCTCGGTCGCACAGTGTGATTAATAGTAAGCTAAAAAAAAGGGGGGAAACACAGTATCAGAATGGTGCTCTGTATGCCAAAAAAATTTGTTTTGTTCATACTGATATTAAATAGTGGTCTAACAATTTTATTCATAACAGCACAGAATTCAAATCATGTAATAAAATTTTAAGCATTTATTCTTTTTTCACCCTTTAGCCTCCTATGGTCAATGATTATCTTAACTCTATAATGCATGGGTTATCAGCTAAAGTCTTCCGCACTTACAATTCATCAAAACTTTTCGAAAAAAAGCTACAACACACTAAAGGTACTCACATACTTTTACTTTTTTTAACGTCAGTATAAAAGAACTTCTTGGTAAGCAGTTCACGCAAATTATGTTTAACTATACTAAATGTGTAAGTAATTATGTATCCTACAAACTATGAGTGATATTAGAATTTAGTTTGTGGGTGTACCATTTCTGTCTGTTAATGAAATAAAGTAAAGTAAATTTACATTCTTTGGCTATTTTTTAGCTTGCTTTGGATTATTTTCTCGTTCGTATCTGCATTTCGTCCCATGAAATTTTTAGAAGTTATTTTTAGTAAGTTAATTTCATAATTTTAAACAAATAAGCATATTTTTCTGCTTTATTAATCGATTCATGAATACTTCTAGAGACTTTTCTATATCTTTATTAACATAAGAGTAGATTTAAATACATTCGGTACAAATGCCTGTTGAATTAAATTACCCAGGATATAATATCATAATTAGTTTGTGGTAATATACTCGTAGTTTGTGAATAGCTAAGAAAATAATTTTTAAGAATATTGTTTAAAAATAATTATAAGAGGATTTCTATAGAAAGTGATTCATAAATGAAAAAAAAACTGATATCTATCTATTTAGAAATAGTTATAACCACTAAGGAATTGTAATAAATTAATAGTAATTCATATGTGGAAAACAACTGATATCCATTTTTTATTTAAATTTTCCTTAATATATCGTATTTTCCGGCGTTTAAGTTGGTATTTTAGCCAAAATATATTCTTTAAAATATAATCTACTCATACGATGCGTATAAAAATTAATAGTGATTTCTATAAGCATTTAATTACTAAAGTTAATAATTATACTTAATTGTAATGACTAATTACACATATTTGTAATTCAAAAAATATTATGTGAATAAAAAGGGCTTTTATTTGTGAAAACAAATAATAATAATAACATTCGTTGAAATATTTTATGAAAGGAGAAAATAATAGTGGCCTCATGCGGTGCTGAAGCATATTAAAAATAATAATTATTTTCAGTTAAAACCATTCTTTTTTAATAGTCTGACACGAATGTCGTACCATCGTAGGAATCTTCTGAATTATCAAAAGTTTCACTTTCCCTAACACACACCAGTAAATAATTATCACCTTCTCTAAAGACTTGAAATAATTGCATGCACTTCTCGTCAACATTTTCGTCAGACAGACATTTCTGCTAATATGAAACATTCCCGGCGTTGAAATTAACAATTTCAAAACTATTATTACAATAAATAAGTATAAAGGAACTACAATAAAATACTTAACAATAAACAAATCATAATACTAAAGAATATACATTCAAATCATTACAACAAAAATTTTTAGCAACAAATAGGTGTTTATAATAGAGATAAACAATCATTCTATAGAAAGTCTCGAACATTTCGTTTTAACAAATTTTGATTCGGCAATTTTACAGTTAGTCTTATTCTATTATCCCTACCATGGAAAACCTCAGCTATTCTCCCCACTAACCATTTGGTTGAAGGCAAACTTTCATCTTTTATTAATACAAGAGTTCTCAACAAAACGACTTCTTTTAAAAATTTCCACTTGTGACGTTCTTGTCAATTATTAAGATAATCACGTTTCCATAATTTCCAAATTTTTTGTGTGTACTTAGTTATTCTTTGCCATTTAGAAAGTCTGTTTTCATTTAAGTTGAATAAATCTGATTCAGCGAAAGTTGTGATAGATCTACCAACCAAAAAGTGACCTGGGGTCAAAGTTTCAAAATTGTTGTAATCAACTGAAATCGGAAATCTTGTGTTCAATACTCCTTCAATTCCTGTTAAAATATTTAAGAATTCTTCTAAATTTAAGCACTAATTACCAATAACTCTCTTCAAATGACTCTTGAATAATTTAACCCCGGACTCCCAAATACCGCCGAAATTTGGTGACGTGGGAGGAATAAATTTTCACTCTATTCCTTCAGTTGCATAAAAATTTGCTAAATTCTCATCCGGACACTCAACCAAGTTTTGCAATTTTTTTAGTTGTACATTAGTCCCAATAAAGTTTTTAGAATTATCACTCATTATTCTAGTATATTTTCCCCTTCTAAAGAAAAAACGTTTTAAGCTTGCAAAAATATTGGCTAGATTGGTCTTTCACAAAGTCTTTTACGTACATTGGCTAGATTGGTCTTACATGGCTTTTACGTATATGAGTACAAAAGCCATACACTTAGACACATATTTGATTTAAGACATTCTTGGCTTTCCTGCTTTCAGATATTGAAAACCTGAATTATGGATTAATAATCAACAGAGGACCTAATTATATGCCTGATATTTCTAAATTGGTGATAATCACTACAATTTAGGTAAACTTAGAGAGTCAGCTGGAAAATATGGCTTTTTTCTATATTAAAGTGCCCGATTTCAGACAGAAATTGGAGTGAATCGTGGGAAAATAACCATGTAAGTAGGATAAAACGTAGTACGAAAATCAGTAAGTAGAACCGAGCCGCCATTCAATAAATAATTTGAATAAAAATACAAGGTTCTATATAAAATTTTGTGGAATAAAAGGCAAACATAATTAGTGCTTTTAGAAATCAGTATCTTATTTCATTCTATGCCTATGAAAGTAAAGCTATTTTATTGAAAAATAAAAATAAGTTCATTAAAACACGAAATGCCGCGTAGAAAGAGATTTTAGAATAGAAAAGAAATATATTCTGATGAATGTTAGAAAATACCTTGAAGAAGAAGAAGAATCATTTAATACGACAGTAACAGCTGTAATGCTTGTAATTTTTCTATTGCGAATTAAGTTTTCGAAGTCCGTCGGATAATCCAAGATTGGATAACAGGATTTCATATAAAATTTTACATAAGTAATATAGTATGGTTTTAATGTAAGATCGTAGAGTGATTCGGGATTTACCGGAGTAGGAAATAAGAAAAGTCCTCCATGCCCTCGCCAATATTCGAGCTCTTGACTTCTCGATTGCTAGCCGCATATGCTTTCAGTTACACCAAGAAGGTAAGATGTAAGGAAGGAGGAAAATCCCTCACATGAGCAGTAAATAAAAGAATTTTAGGAATTAATCAATAAATAAAAGAAAATTATCTTAACTGCTTTTTAACTCCTTAGTATTTCCATACGATAGGAATTCAGACTTCATGAAGTATAGTTATTGAAAAGAATATGTATGTATTAACGACTTAAATATTTCATTTGCAAATGTTTCATAGTAAAATAATCAAATGTATCTTTAATTCAAGATTTTCATCGTTACTAACGAACATCTGAATAAATAACCTTTAATTTTTCTTGCAGTTTAAAAGAAGGCGCGGTATCAGTGAAATAATGTTTAAATGTTTCCAAACAAAATTCGAAATTGTGAAGTTACATTATAGTGGAAATATATATTTTATGTATTTTAATTATTTCAAAACTTGTAACACAAAACAGGGGTAAACTTACATAAACAAGAAAGATTTGACTTATTCGAATACGGCAAAGCACTCGAGGGCTACTGCCTAAAGGAATGGATAGCCTTCTTGGCGGACGTTCTAAGGCAAAACGGCTCGTAGAGGCATTATAAATGGGGAAAATCACAAAGCGTCCATGTAGCCGGCCCATTCTTCAGGATTCGAGCCTCGGACCGAATTACCGGTGGTCAGCGGCTTTACCGCTCTGCCGCTGGCGGGCAAAAAGGGGAAAAAAACTGAGAGAATCACTTATCTCTCAGATACAATGCAAACAATTTGGTTTTATATATTCTTAAAAATTATCGATGTTATTGCTTCAAATAGCTGTATCTGTGTTAAATAGAGTACTCAAATTAGTGAATTTTGGGAAAGGTTTAAGACTTTTTGACTCGTTTTATCTCATAATTTAACTCGAAGCATATGTAGAATGCAAAATATAAGGAACTATGGGTAATTAATGATTATAAATTGTGCTTCAGAAAGAATGCGAGTATGAAATTCCATGATCCTATTAATGAATCTATATCTTCCAGCTAAAATGAGTGTGGATGAGAAAATAAAAAGGTATGGTGAAGCAAATAGAGACGTTGCTATATTATGTGGACATACTAGAACTCCTCTAAAGACTCACGGAAAACGAACCAAAACTTTGAATTCTAAGGTATTTTCTGTAAATAAATTGTTTTATAATTTTTAATCTAAGCAATATTTTGTTTGCAATTTCAGCATCTAAACTTTGAAAATATTAAGAAGAAGAAGAAGAAGAATCATTTAATACAACATTAACAGCTGTAATGCTTGTAATTTTTCTATTGCGAATTAAGTTTTCGAAGTCCGTCGGATAACCCAAGATTGGATAACAGGATTTCATATAAAATTTTACATAAGTAATATAGTATGGTTTTAATGTAAGATCGTAGAGTGATTCGGTATTTACCGGAGTAGGAAATAAGAAAAGTCCTTCATGCCCTCGCCAATATTCGAGCTCTTGACTTCTCGATTGCTAGCCGCATATGCTTTCAGTTACACCAAGAAGGTAAGATGTAAGGAAGAAGGAAAATCCCTCACATGAGCAGTAAATACAAGTATTTTAGGAATTAATCAATAAATAAAAGAAAATTATTTTAACTGCTTTTTAACTCCTTAGTATTTCCATACGTTAGGAATCTTAATAACCTTAAACCATGAATTTAGTTGGTCTGGTTTGTTTGATTACGGCAAAGCTTTCGAGGGCTATCTGCCTAACGGAGAGGGATGCCTTCGTAGAGGACAATCTAAACGAAACTGGCTCATATCCACGTTTCACATGAGGAAGACCACGAAAGCGCCCATGCAGGTTGTCCGTTTACCAGGATTCGATCCTCAAAACCAAACTATCAGTGTTCAGCGACTTAACCAGCAGCCGAGCCATATTAATGCAAACAATGTTAAAACATATTAATGTAAACCATGTTTAGAGCAAGTGACAACAGACAAGATTTAATCTATGTTTGGCATTAATTTCAAAGAAAACGCTCAGTGCATTTGGAGGGCTTAAAAGTATACTATGTTCTATCTTTTTCGAAGAAAAATATTTCACGCCATAAAAACCATTGCACTAATTTTCTGTATTGGTCTTTTAACCCGTCCAAGCTTTTTTTAATGGCAGCAGTTTTCTAAATCATATGGGGATTAACTGATTTTTTTTTATTTGATGAATATCTGACTGAGGTCTGCAAAGTGTATTTATCACGAATTTTGAAAATTGTTTCATTGCTGGTAATTCATTATGAAGTGGGTATGAAAGAATTCTCTTTAGTGCCAATAAGATTCTATGTAGGATATTTTTCTATGTCATATTCTTCAATTATTCCTTTATTTAGTGTAACATGAATTCTAATCTGTTTGCCTGAAAACGCCCTCCACAAAAGCATCCATTTAAAGGCACATATCCCTTACGTTTTCCATTGCAAACAATTAAAGAACAAATCATCATCTCTTTCCTTTTTTATTTCTATTACAGGAACCAACTTACCCTCTTTTATGAGAACTTTTATTCTGAATATATAAACAAGATGTATCATTCTTTATAAAAATGCTTAATTGAAAGACTGGCATAGATACGAGCAATAATATGAAAATACTTAAAATTTTGTACTAAAAATGTGAGGGAGATTTCTTAAAATTGCCTGATAGAAAAACTGCATTATATGTTAATATTGTTAAGCGTCATATATAAAGAAACAAATAAATGTTTGAAATATCCTAAATCTATCAAATCGTACACTGATATCATATACTGCTGATATTTCTAACTCCATAAAATTTGTTGAATAAAACATTTTATATTAAAAAAGGGTAAAAATCAATAACTTCTTTTATCCCTCTTTTATTATCATTATTATTATTCAAATCCATATAATTCACTCTTTTTGTATAGGAGCTGTTTATCCAAAAAATAAAACCTTAATTTCTTAACTGGTTTCGTCTAACAGTTCTCAAAGGCTTCAGCTTACGATAGTATAATAAAGACTTTTTACTTTTTATTCGTTACTGATCTGGTGCACTATTTTTAAATGCAGTCATTTTGAACAAAGGAATATACTTTTGCGTGTGTATGTTTAAGATTATTAAATCCATTATGCACATGAGACTCTGAGATAATTTTATGTTAAATGATCATAATCGAACATTATTGATACAATTACAGCCATTTCAATGATATTTCACACAATTCTTAGTCAAGTGAATTGCTTTCCTTGCGGCGTGATTAATAATGATTAATAACAGGTTACATACACTGATAGAGCGTTAAGAATAGTATAGGTGTGGCTTTACGTTTTTATTTATTTACATTTTTTGATTAATTTCTTTAGATTGCGGTGTAAATTTTCTTATAGGGGAAATATTTTTGTGATTCTTTATAAGATAATTTTATGCTTCCATGATCTTTTCTGTTTATACCTGTATACCTAAAAATTAACCAGGTAGAGAATATGTTGTATTAAAAGAAGGGAAAAATACATTACCTTCCATTGCACTGGATTTGCGCTAGTGGTTTCATTGCACTAGATTTATGCTCGTGATTATTTTTACTATTCATTATTTTAAATCTTTCAGATAAAGGCAAAAATTAAACAAGAGAAAAAACTTGAAAGAGAAATTAAAACTCTTAAAAGCAAAAGAAAGAAGAATCAAAGTATAAAAAAGTAAGTTAAATTATTTAATGTAAATGTGATCTGAAATTTTAACCATTCTCTACATTCAACTATATGTATGTAAACGTAACAGATTGTTAAATTAACATAAATTACCAGTTAACCATTGCAAAGACCTGGATTTAAGTATTACTAATCTATAAAAATTTCAACGAGAGAACTTATTCTGTTTATGCAATAGATAATTTAGCTAACAATAAACTGTATTAGGTTTTATAAATTTAAGGTTCTGTACTGAATTCGCAGAAGCTTAAAAAATATTTTTTTTTGCAAACAGGATTTTATAAATAATTTTCGTTTACAGTAAAATAAATGAATAATATTCAGTTAGCATAAAGAACTAAAATAATATTCAGTTAGCATAAAAATTTTAAGTAATATTCAATTAGTAATGAAATTTAATTAATTTCTCTAAAACACCAATTTTTTTATATTTGAAAAACTTTCTTTATGGAAAAATTTCGAAGTAAATCAAATGCCGCATAATTTCAAGAAAAAGATAAGAAATGCGGTAGCTGCAAACGGTTCACTAAATGCAAAATTCTGGCATTTTTGTCTTCTTTTTACAAATTTATTTAATTTAATTTTTTTGTTTGGTTTGCTTCTTTATTTGTTTGGATCAAATTTTGAATTTACTCATAGTTCTTGATCTCCTTCTACCGAACCGGTTTCCTTAAAATTTTTCATACAAATGTATTTGCGATGACAAAGAAATATTCCATGGGAATTTTTCAAAATTCAGTAGATAAAGATATTTTTTATTTGTTGAAACTGAATACTTTGAATTATTTAATTTTTCTTCAGATCCTTGTTTAAAGGTCAAACTAATCATTGGGGAATTCTGATCTTTACTTCCAAACAGAGGACTTTTTTTTTCAATGTAATTTGCGGAATTTTAGTGGTTTTTTTCCAAATTTTCAGTTATTTTAGTCATCGTGCCGTTACTCAGGATAGTAGATTTTAAAATAAAAAGATAAAATAAATTATTGTTTGTTAGCAGGCCCATAATTTTTAGTGATAATGAGATTAGATTTCTGAATCAGAAATTGAAATGAGTTAAATGTAATTTTATAGCAGACTAAAAAGAATAGTTTTCCTGTGTTCGAGATTGATTTTCTTTCCTCTATGCTTGTCTGTGTTCTGTGCACTGAAAAGTTTAAAATAAGTTACGTAAGAATCATTTAATATTAAACGGCTTGAATAAAAAAAGGGAAAGGGAAAAAATGCATTTTTAGCCAACATAAATATTCTTGATCATATGTGACCAACTATAACTTTGTGCTGCTCTCATATTGAAATTATGTTAGAACATTAACAGAATTTTAAGAAATGTGATATAATAAATAGAATTATTACACTCTATTCATTATATGTTGACAGTTTCTACTTAAATTCCACCATTGTTAGATGTCCTGCGATTTTAATTGTAATCATATAGGATCAAGAATGTTATGACAGCTGAAAAATACATTTTACTTTTTAGCGGATTTGATTAAACCCGTGAAATGTTAAAGAAATGTTTTGTATTCATTTTATTAAGTTATAAAAACGAAATTTCAGAAGTGTAATGTATTCATATTCGAAACTGCTTGTTGGCAACAATCTCTTGTTTAAGACATGAAAGAGATCCATACCGTAGTACAAATTTTAAACAGAAAACAGTGTAATTATGTTTAGTAAACCAGTTCCAAACTATTTTTTTACTTATAAGAAAGGCTCGTATTTTGATGATATATGTATTTTTTCAGTTCTTGAATTATTTTCTTCATTTAAAGCAATTTTTGAGTTTATAGAGCATTTTGAGAGCTTTTTAGAGCAGACTGAGGTTAAAAAAAATAATACAAAACGTAATGTAAAATCTGAAAGCTTTCAGTTTTTTTAATTATTATTTTAATTTTATTTATCACATTCAGAAAAATACAAAGAAAAATAAAGCAAATGGAAAGATGCGAAAATCAAATAAGAAAACTAAAAGAACAGAAAGAAAAACATATACTAAACAAGTATGTTGCACTAGGAACGTCGAAATTGAATTATCTTGATCCCAGAATCAGCATAGCTTGGTAAGATAGCCGTTTTTCTTAAACATTTCCAATTTCTATGGAATTGTTATTTAATTTGAAAAGCTAAATTAAAAAACTTAAAAAAAACTCTCATTATCAATAAGAAAGTTACAAGCTTGAAAATACAGTAATCGGATGCTTTCTTTTCCGAAAACAGTATAAAAATTTTAAAATACATAAATTTTGTAGAGTCCAGTGAATGAACTTCTGTCTGTATACTGGAATAGCATGAAACTACACAGGAGAAGGGTTAAAGTACCCTTTATTAACTCTTTAAAATTTACAATGCGTCAACTCGACGCTAACAAACTTCGCCTCGAGAACTGAGTTTCGGTAGGAGAAGAGAGAGTTAGTTTCTAGCCTAGAAAAGGGAGTTAGGCTTAGAGAGTCTCTGCTGTAGGTACGTTTGCTTATTGCGGCTTCAAGTGGCTTAATTTCATTACTTTGCTGCCACTAGCTTCAAAGGGGGTTTAAGTTACGAGATCTTGCTGAGCCCTGTAGGCTAGTTTTATTACTTGTTAATATTTCAGCTTTTAGTTTCAATTATCTGACTTTCAGTTACCGCCCAAGCAGAGGCGAAGTTTGTTAGCGTCGAGTTGACGCATTGTAAATTTTAAAGAGTTAATAAATGGTACTTTAACCCTTCTCCTGTGTAGTTTCATGCTATTCCAGTGACAGAAGTTCATTCACTGGACCCTACAAGCTGAATGTAAAACATAGTGTTTTTTTTTTTAATATGTGTTTACCTAGTTTTTTTAGATTAAATATTTTTCTAAAAGAAAAAAAATATTGAATACAAAAGTCATTTTCTCTTTTGAGAGAGAAAAATTATGTTATAAAAGTGATCAAATACTTACTGTTATAGGATTGGAAACCCCCCAAAAATTGTAATTTGTATCATTTATCTGCTTTCATTCGATTACCCTTAGCATTTAAAATGGGATTTAATCTTTCTGACATAGATTTAGATAGACTTTTTTATTATTTCTTATTTTTTCCATTAATTTAAATACTATGTTAAAGGGACAGTTTGTGTCCGAAATTTTATTTGTGTTTAAATCTGAACCTGAGCAAGTGGTTTGAGTATTTCAACACAAATAAACAGCAACCAGAATTTCAAATCCAAATAATATAGCCATTATCTTGACAGAATTAAAATTATTTTGGATGACAAGTTTATGTACTAATGATTTCAAATTTAGTTTTGAAATAAACATTTTTATACTGATACTTTCACTATCAATAAACTTAAGATTACGATTTCGACAAGTGATATACATCCCTCATACAATAACATTTCTATCATTTTCTATTGTTGAAACTTAGTTTCTGAGACTATATCTTTTCCTTAATAAAAGTTGGACATTTTTTAAAAACGCTGAAATAGCTTTTATCAACATTGTCTTATTTAACTACTTAGAACTTTTATTTCTTGCAGATTCTGGTCAAAAAATAAAATTTTTAAAGTTTTTCTACTCTTTCAACTTTCTTTCTTTCCACCGACAGCGAGGCAGCCGATCCACTGAGGCAGTTAGCATATCGGTCAGATAGCCCCGCTGACGGAATTAACTTGGTCCACATAATCCACTTTGGTACACAGTGTGCTCAAAACGAGTGCTGGCGGTGGTGCAAACAAATGCTGGGCGAGACGATAGTGCTGTAATGGAAGAAAGGTGCAAGCAATACTAATAATACTAAAAAGTAAAATACTAAAACGCAAAATAGCAAATATGGCAAAACAGTAAAAATAATACATAAAATAAGGCAAAATACATAATTCAAGGTTCACAATTCAGGGTTACAGTTCAAGGAGATAAGTATAAACAGAAAAAAAAAAAAAAAAAAAACAGAAAATTTATCTTAAGATTAAATAAATTTACTACAATTACAGAGCATACGGGGGGCTGTACTGGTGACGAGGATGTCAGCTGAGAGTTACTCCAGCCTGTCTGAGATTTTGCGTGCAATATTTACGCAATCGCATATGCGTTTCAATGCATAGCGGTTTTTCGAAGTAGCTTCGGCACATGCATGAATGTGGTCCGCTATTGGCTGCCTAAGATGATGTTCGGCAGTGTCTCTGCAAACGAATGCATAGTGGTCCGTATCTCCTGCCATCCCGCATGAGCAATGGTCGTCTGAAGCGATGCAGGTAAGTCATGAAGGGACCATGCCCTGTTAGAAACTGAATAAACTGAGGCGAGCCACGTTAGAAGCTGGCAGACTTTTGGAAAAATTCTGTAAACTCTTTTGGCGGTGGTCTCTGTCTCCCACAGATGTTGCCTACGCTTCCGTAATTCTCTCTCGAGCTCCGCTTTTAAGAACAAGCCCGGGAGAGGCAAGTCAAAGTGTGTGAACATGGGGGTCAGTTGCTGCTCTTTTGGCTACTGCATCTGCAATTTCATTACCCAGTATTCCGGTGTGGGTAGGTACCCACTGGAGTTCAAGCCTATTTTGGTGTTCTTATTAAGAGTTTTTGTATGGCCCTGACAAATAGATCTTTACTGCATGTGCCTTGGATTGCCTGAAGGCTAGAGGCTGAGTCTGAATAAATACTGGAACTCTTTCAACTGGCACATAATTGTTTTCATTCTACCCGGCTGTTATACCCAGCAGATCGAATCCAGTAAATTTAGATAGTTCTATATTTTGAAGCCGCCACTGAAATACTGGTTTAATTTTTAATTCCTTTTTGTTAGCGCTTTGGATTTTACAATTTAGAAAATGCCCAAGGACAGAATTCTTCCAAAGAAAAAGCATCTTTCATGATAGAAAATTTTCCTCGAAGAATCACGAGATGAAATTATGTTTTATCGATAAATTAACAGCGAAATGGCGCTACAAGAAATAATCTTGTAATAATAAGAAAAGGTTAAGAACTCTAAACTGGTTCTTCCCATTTTTATTATGTTTAGCGGTTTTATTTTAATGAACTGCTAAGAAAAGTGTAATATATGAAATTAGCTCTCATCTAAATTGAAATAATATTCTTGGATAGTTATTTACTACCTTTCCTTGCTCCCTTCCTTGCATTAGATTTACTATAATAATTTTTTGCATCATTGGCTCAACAATAGTTTGGCGAATTGTTATGGTCGCCACAACTTAATGGTACCGTATTTTTACCCCAGGCAATTTAATTCTTTAAATTACATTATGCATATAATAATTTTGAAGCAGTTTTAAATCTGTGCAAAGTAGGAGGAAGCGCAAATAGTACATAGGCAGCGCGCTTTGTTCGTGAATAAGAGAAATAGCTGCATTGCTGTAGTTCTGTTAACCCACTATTCACTTTAATTCACCGTCTTAAACACACTAATTGTATTTGACATGTTATTGCCTGCAACAGATAGAATTTTGAATTGCGGGCACAGATACGTTTGTTTACAAAAGTCAGTGTAGTAAAAATATAACTATATACTGATTTAAAACATTTCTTGGAAGGATCTCTTCTTGGAAGTGTCAAAATTATAATATTAATTCTTTATTTTAGGTGTTAATCAAAGAAAAAAATAATTTTGCTCCTTAAATATTTTAACAATAAATTTTTGTCGTTAAAATATTATCAATTTATTTTTAATTAACATATTTTCATATATTTAAATGCAATTGTTTCAACAAGCTGTATTTACTTGTTAAAACGTTTTAAGCTTCTTTTTTAATTAATACATTTTTTTTTTTTAACTTTTTAGGTGTAAAAGGTTTGGTGTTCCAGTAGAAAAGATTTACACCAAATCGCAAATGGAAAAATTTCAGTGGGCTGTTGAAATTGCAACGAAAAATTTTAAATTTTAATTCCAGAACAGAAAATAAAAAAATTATGTCAATGTTTCTTTGAAACAGTAACTTTGTTTTCACCATATTAAATATTAGTAATTTGCATATTAATATCTATGTGCTAGCCGAAGAATTTCTTAAATTGAATAAAATTTTATTTATACTATAAAAACACATCTAAATAACTAACTCTGAAGTAGACATTAGAAAAGATTATCGGCTAGCTTCGATAGCATGCTTGACTCATCAGTAGTCAGAAAGAATAAGAAAATTTAATATTAGCATATTAAATATATAGTCTTCTTTGCTATCATACACTGTGACTAGATCTACTTGAATGTCTGTGTTACTATTTCTCACAAGGACTAGAAGATGAAAACTAGTAATACAAGACTACACAATTTAATTTAACCTAGCAGGTTGACTCAGACCTACACCGACAAGATACTAATTTCGGCGGCAAGAATGCGAAGAAGAGATTCAAAATTTAAACAGTTGGTAGCAGTAACAACGTGTGTACTCAATAGGGTAAACACGCTCTGACTAAACTTTTCGCTAGTTCAGTTTAAATACACTCTTACTTACCCTAACTCAATCACATAATGGGAAGGAAATGCGAGAAAAATCAGAAAGAACGGAAAAGGCTAACAAATTAAAATAACTATTAGTAAAAATAACAGAAACCCTACAAGTACTTCGGCAGAAATTAAAACTCTGGAAAATGGACTGGTTGCGTGGGCATATTTGTGATTCTCTCCATGTGTAACGTGAATATGAGCCAGTTTCCGTTAGAAGACCCTCCATAAAGGAATTCTTTACTCCCTTGGCAGATATCTCCCGTGTGCTTTGCTCATCTACTCACAAAAAGGCTGTGTGACGGAACAGCTTCCGCCCTAGCTTTTGCCTTTCGGAATTGAGTGCCGTCCCGCACTTCTTACAATCTACCATGTTGCGAACCCCCAGATCAAGGGCAGACAAGGCAGTACCAGTACGGTCCCTGCCGAGCCTTACTCGCTCATCTACTGACAATAAAGTTATACGCTCGATATCTAGTTTTTCTACCAGTTTGAATTATTGACTCTGCATTAGCCTCTGACAGAGTATTGTTAGGCAAAGTTAAAAATGGGCTATGTTCCCTGTGACTAAAACAGAAATGAAAAAGCTGACGAAAATGTTTCAGTAATTTTGTTTGCTAAGAGACTTCAGAAAGCCAAGCGGGTAAAATATTTCAGGACTATTCGAAAAAAATAAACATAGTTGGTAATTACACCAAAACTGTCAAAGATGCCATCTCGATATCGCTGATTTTGGTCGCCTAATCAAGAGATTTTAAAAATGCATAAACCTTTTCTATTGAATCACAGTTTTTAAGGTCTGCAACAGTGAAGAGCGGAATTGGATGCGGGTCATTTATAGTTTGAATAAGAAGACCGAAAGTAACAAGGGTTGAAAAACGAATTGAGAATAAGATTAGTGGAGCTTCTATGATTCTGGGAGTCAAGCTGAGAATGACTTTAGGCTAGAAATACAAATAACAGGATTTAGAATTTCATTTCAAAGGATAAGAAAATTAATAATATCAATTTCTTTATGACGCAAATTTATCTATGATTATATGAATTTGGAAATTATTTTGAATTAGTTTGAATAATCAATTATTCTTTGTTATCTTTCTTAAACGCCTCAACTTCCCCTCGCATTTCCTCGCCAGGCGGCAAAAGAGATCGTTAGAGCGTGACTTCGCTATCATAGCGCAGGTTGTTATTTCCTCCTTTCTGTTGTTACTCTAAGTTAGTGATACGCCTTCTGGCCGTTTCGTTAAAGTCTTTTCGCCGGTGTAGGTTGCTGAGTCAGCATGCTAGCCTTAAGTAATCTAGCCCTATCCTTTACCATTTAAATTTGTTGTTAAATTATTCTTAAATTCTTACCGCAAGTAGTCGGTGTTATTGTGAGAACGAAGTACGTGCATTTTTGTTAAGAGTTAGATGAGTAATAAAGGTTTTTATTTATTTATTTATTTTTTATTTTAAACCCTTCTTCTGTGCTGGTATCTTTCACGCCTATGCCAGAAGTCGCCAGGTTTTCTAGTAAGATCACACTAACAGTATGATAAAAAATCTGATGTGTACACCAAATGACTTCCTTGTACGGAATATTAAATTATACTCATTTTTTCTTGCATTTCATTTAAACTTATTGGATTGAATTAAATCTACTTCGCCGACAGCGCATAAACCATAATAGAATAAATGCATTCTTTAAAATTCACTTTACCATAGCGACATTCTGGCGCTAGATTCACTTAACAGTATTAATACTTATATAACAGTTAAATTTAAACAAATTTAAATTCTTAACAACTTATATAATAATTATATAACGGAAACTAAGTTAACTGCTATATAATATAATAATTATATAACAGTTAACGTATATATTTCGTTCATATTATAACTCATAATGCACAAAATTTATATCATTTAAAGAATAGAATTATCTAATCGTTGCCACATGTTCTATTCAAATACTATAATAAAGCTAGAATGATGTATAAAAGAAATTAAGCAAAACAAAACAAAAAAAAAACAAGTTTTTCACAGACGATTGAGTATTTCTCATTTAATTAATTCAGTTCTCACTTCGCGAGAAGGCAAAAATACATAACAATTCAAAATAACTATATTAAAAATTACGAAGTAAATCTTAAACACTTATTTCCTCGAAAAAATTCCAGAAAGGAATTAAGCATGATTTAATTGGCAATAATAAATGAATGCGTTATCTTTGTTGTTGCGAAGCTAAGTTTCTCTAGATTGGCAACAAATCCACTAGTCTCCTGTTTCAAATGTAAAACATCAATGGCCGCCAAAAAAAAAAGGCTTAGCGGCAACTTAAACAACTTTAAAATTGTTGCTGATAATTCTAAAAAATATTGCACACAGATTTACTAAAGGCATAAAAAATCCTTAACCGGAAGATAAAAACAACATAATTCAATCATTTTTAAAGCAAAAAATGTACAATTTACAAACATATAAGAGTAAAGAAAACTGAGATCACTGAGCCGGGTAACAGAGTGGATATATATATAATATATTTTATATACGTTTGGTGCGGCCGATTGCAACCAAAATACGAGGTGCACATCTACATGTTATAGCAGTCCTATATACAAAATTTCAACGTTCTGAGGCTACTCGTTTTTGAGTTATGCGAGATACGTACGTACGTACATACGTTCGTACAGACGCCACGAAAAATTCTCTTCAGAATTAATTTTAAAGCAGTTTTATAATTTTTTTTTTGAAGGAAAAGAGTCTTTTATTCTGTCCTTACGTACAGATATCACGCAAAAACATCGTTAAATTGCATTCGATAGCGGTCAAAATGGATATTTTCGTTGAAATATGCTGCCTGAAACTTTTCGCGATTACAATACTTCCTTTTTACTTCGTACAAAGAAGTAAAAAGAAAGTTAGATCTTACACTTTCACGAATTTTTGATAAAAACTCAACAATTTCAAAGCGAACAATGGCAACATTCTTGGGAATTAAATATTTTACCTCCAGCTCGCGAGACTGTATCGGAAATTCTAAAGATATGCTGTTTTTAGATTTCAAATTTTTTATTATTTTGAATTCATTTTTTTTTATCCCGAAAGGACGTTATCCCGAATGGGCTATTAGTCTCGAAACGGGATTTCACGGCATCTCATTTTAAATATCTGAATCATTTTTCAAATTATTGCCATAAAATATTATTGTCCTGCTTTACTTTTAAAGAAATTAAATGTTGAAGAATCTGCATGAATGTATGTATGTTTCTCGCACTGTGAAGAAATGACGCTACGTAGGGCTATCAAATTCTGAATAATGTAGCCCTCCATCCGAACATGTGCACCTATAAACCAAACTTTGAATTTCGAATTTTATATTTTGCAAAACTTTAATGAAATTTTAACATACTCAACGATTTCAAAGCGAGCAGTGGCAATACTGCACGAAATAAAACATTTTCATTTTCAGCGCGCGAGTCTGTGTGCCGGAAATTCTAAAGATAGCCTGCTCAACTCAACTTTATATGGCGGAAGTGCAAAGAACATATTATATTATTTATATATTTATTTAATTAATAAATTTAAGACACAAAACGTTAATGATAAAAACGTTAATGATTTTAATGATAAAAAAGAGTTTTGCAGGCCATTTTACTAAGAAAACTGAACATTTATTTTATAAACCCAGAAAAGACCGAACAAAATAGAAAAGCATGTCAACACTTAACACTGCATCGGGAATTTTATGCATATTCTGTTAAGCTGCTTTTAAAATTTTTTTAATTTTACTGTGAATTGTATATGGCGTAAGTGCGAAGAAAATGATGATCAATAATAAAGCTAAAAAGACAAAAAAGGGGGGGGGTTAAAAATATTTCCTAATTTCTTATGGCTTTTCATTGACAGATATTTTTAAAATTTTAAATAAAAAGGCTTTCATAAAAAATTAAATCACTGTTAGCCAGTTCTTCCCGAGTGAAAATCGGGAAGATTGATTATATAAAGTCATAGATTGCAATTTAATAAACAAAGTACAATAAAATTTATTTGACAGGATTTTAAGCAAATACCGAACAAAACTTCAATACAGTGCCTTACTCCAATAAACTTTGGATAATTAGTACTATAACCTCTGCTGCGATTATAAACTATTGACAATATACAACGGCCCAAAAAATACACCGTGATTGTAACTAAAGTTCCACTTTCAAATGGCTGTAAAAAAAAACCCACTAGTCAGAATGACCTGCAATTTGACTTAAAAGCAAGCAATGGGAATTTGCCTGAAGAAAGGAAAAAATGTTCAAAATGTTATCTATTGATAATTTTTCTTCTTTTTAATAATATGCTTATTAAAAAGACTACACATGCCCACCACATATTTGTTTCATGAAAACACGAGGTTACACGCAGTTCCCGTTATTTTGAGTCTGAGAAATTCGTCATGACTCTGTCAATGAAGGATCCGATTCTGCTTGTGAAGTTTTTTTACAAGAACGGTGACTGTGCTTCGGTTGCCCTAAAGAAGTTCTGGACATTTATGGTTATAAGATGCGGTTCTGATCCAATATTTGTAATTTTGTCTGTAGTGATCTGCAGTTTTTGGTATTAGCAGAACCTTGCAGATGAAAATCGGCTTCGTCTGTTCACAAAATATTCCATGTCCATCCATTATCCGCTTCCACCCGGGCGAGAAATTATAGGGCAAAAGCTTGTCGTACTGGCAGATCAGTAGGAAGCAATTCTTGAAAGTGCGTAATTTTGAATGGATATAATACCATTGCAAGATGTTTCTTAAAACTTTACGAACCGTGCTGATAGGCATGTCTAAAGATTAAGCCATTTTCCTTGCACTACACATTACAACACCATTTTTCGCCTCTTCTTGCAGTGCTGTAGCCACATTCTCAAATGACAATCGAAGCAATTGTTTTCCTTCCTCTGCCAGATTTCATGTCAAAGCGGTCTCTTCGAATTCAGAATCATCCTTCGCAGACCCTTGGAAAAGCCACGTCTCATACCTATTAATTTCCCGGTTTTGGAAGGATTTTTAAATGTCCTATCACTTACGAAATGATGGTTTCTTTCACCGATCTCAAGAAGTGCTAAGAATTCCTGAGTATGAAATTAATTATCTAATTTGTATAATGAAAGTTCCTCATATCGGCTACAATTAGGATGGAAATTCAGATTATTCTACAAATACATATCTTTCGTACCAGCCTCTACCTTGCACGAAAATTTTTGAGTTCACATTCTTTGCTCCCCTACTTTCTTTCTCCTAGATTATCGCCAGGTGTATTAGAATATATGATGCTATTGTGCCTCAAGCGATGATATTCTTCACTTCTGAGAGTTCATCGATAGTCAAACAGGTAAACCTAGGATATGGTAATTCATACCGGTGGCTGAACAGGTGATTTTCTCAAGTTTAACCCAAAAATGAGTCAGTTTTTCTTCAAACTTTCACCATGAAGATAACCCTAACCTTAGGTAGGTAATGTTAACTAATAAATCAATTAAAGAATCTTCCATTTCTTTTTACTGATACTCTTAGCTTGCATAGGCATAAATCTTTTATGCGTTCTGTAAATACTAAGAGTAAAATCACAAATAATCAAGAAATACAGATACAGTAAAAAATATATTCCCTAATTTTAATAGTTTTCCTAATGGAAATAAATGGCATGAAACGATCCCATCATTCCATCTATTTTTAAAAGTATGTGGACAAAGCATTTTATAAAAGCTATGTCAGTGAATTTTGTACAGCTGAGGCATTGTTTTAATATTTCATGTCATACAGTGTCCTAATCAGAGCTTTTGCCACCCCTCTCAAAGCACATCAAAAATCTATAAATAAACGCATGATACTCATTTTTGTGTGCTACATGCTTCTTAATCCATTCGTTCTCGCAACAAACAACACTTAAAGAAATTATGAAAAAAATTGGCAGTAGTATTGCAATATTTGGAACTGTATTCAGAGTCGTAGGTAGGGTTTTCAGCGCCCAGGGACAACTGAAAATTTCGGTCCCCTTACTGCTTGCCAGGGATGGAAAACATTTAATTCTAAAACGTAGTAACATCAGTTTGGCGGCCCTTGGATTCTGCGCCCGGGGACACATGCCCCCCGTTGCCCCCCCTCTAGCTACGCCCCTGACTGTATTCTGAACACAGTCTTTTATAACACTGCAAAAGCTCAAATTAAAAGTCTTTCCTTTGTTTCGCCTTTCCAAGCAGTAACAAAGCTAAAAACTATAAAGCATTTTTTTTTTTCAGTTATAAAGTCCTCCTTATTTTTATCATGGTGATAATAATTTAACTGACAGTTTTCATTTAATGATATTTTTATTCAAAAGTTTCAAGGTCGGCATAGCGAGGCCAATAAGCTATAGAAACCTTGTTTTAATTCTTTGAATGTTTCATCCAGCGCAAAAACAATTTTATCTTCGATTCAGAATCTCCGTAATTCTTTTCTTCACGAATGACCTTAGTGGATAAGATGGCTGAATACTAGTAGTTTGATCTAGGTCAAAACCCAGAAAACGGGGTGGTTGTATAAGTGTATTTGTGGTTTGCCCTATGTGTGACGTAGAGTTTGTAATTTTGTATTCACGCATCCATAACGTGAACACGAGACTTTCTTCTTTTCGTAACGCGAATATATGACAGTTTCCCAAATTTTAAGCGTATCGTGGAAAACTTTAGTGCTGAATGATGGCAACTCTTCCCTCCTCTTATTGACTAGCAATGAACTTTGCTATAATATAATACATAACAACTCTTCTTTCTGCTACAATGATTCATGTGACTAACCTCCGTAAAATTATGTTTCACGCGAAACATCTGGTCCAAAATATGTGCCGACCGGGGCCACGGATTTCGTAAGAAATTTCTGATTCCTAATAGTGGCATGTAGTGTGCGTAGTTATCGTAAAGTAGCGTCCACTGTTCTATCCGTTCATATCGCTTTTTCAATCTGTATTATTCAGACTCTTGAAGACTGAAATGTAATATGCAATTCTGAGAGTAGTTTCTAGAGGAAAGGCATCGCGATGGACTACATTTTTATAATGAAATCATCAGCATTATCTTTCCAGTGGATTTTAATTTGAACGATTATAGGGAAGAGAGTTAAGGGAGCAAAATTACGGACACATTCTCATCGGCTGTTTTTATTATCCTTAAGAAAGCTGGATCCTTTTCAACCATCTGTTTTCACACATAGCAATTATGACAACTAACATTTGTTCTTTTGTCAGGTGATCACGCTTCACTTCATGAATACAAATGATACAGTAAACTGTGACGCAAAGAACAAAATGTTAACTTTTTTTCAACTGAATGTTGGGGTCGCTGTCTTTCCGCATGATGGTCATCGATCTTTTTTAGGAATAGCCAAGCAGTATGAATATTACGCTATAGCAACACCTTCAAGTTAATCAGACCTAGACATATTCTGCCAACAAATGTCCTTTCATTTTTTAAACATGGTCTAACTTAAAACTTGTCAATATTTCAAAACATTTGTATGCTTGTTTAAATTAACAGTTTTCGCAGCTGTTTTGTACAAACGGATATCAAAATTCTACCATGCAATGCAATTAAATAAATAATTCTTTCCTGACGATAAAGATATCTTTTCCGACACTATAAAAGTTACAGTATAAAAAGAAGTTATAAAATAAGAGAAAAAATCAACAATTACGATATTTGAGTACTGTAACCAAGATCGAGTTTATTTGCAATACATAAATAATCCTATGATAATGTGAAGAAACTTCAGAACGTAATTTAGATAATTTAAAATGGAAGCTTACCAAACTGTGACAGAAATAATTTTTAACGCCCCCCCCCAAAAAAAATTACCTATCCATGATACTTAGAAACTTTAAAATTACCTCAGTATTATTCATATAAGTCTAAACTTTAAAATCGCTTTAAAACGGAGTATAAGACTGCACTCGAGTTGTGAATAGATTTTAGTACTAAAGCAGATCTCAAAACTGCTTTCCCTAAACACTTCTTTTTATCACTTTCACATTTAGTATATTATAATTTTTGCTCTCTTTCTATTTTTACCTGAGGCAAGCGCTTCATTCACCCCCATTCCTCTTAACGGCTCTACAGTTATAATTAAAAAGGCAATATCAAGATATTCCCTTCTCCCAACTACACTCTTCCGAAGACAACTTATGATTTCTAAACAAGTAAATTTGCCGTAGACAGTAGCGATTTTGTCTTCTGCTAAAGTGCAGAAAAAATAATCGGAAATCAGATCTCTTCTTGGTCCACGAAGCATGAAACTTTTACACATTGAACGGGAATGAATTAAGACTAATAACGGATTAAAAGTTCCAAAATGAACAAGAATCAAATTAATCCGTAGGATAGCCCACGAAAGTATTACATGAAGGTCAAATTAGCAATCTTGACATTGATAACGAAAAAATTTCTTTTGCATGAATTCCAGTCATAACGGTGGCTATATAAATGCCACTCAGCTAACCATTTTCATTATTAGCTCTTTCGATTTCGAACAGTTTCTTCAGTTTCTCGCACAGCGACAACGAATTTTCCAAAATGATGAAGTTAGCGGTAAGTTTCTGATTTATTATCGTTAGTTTTTATCTACATTTTATTTTTATTTCTTAGTAAAAAATATTTCATACTAATACGATCAAGTCAAATATTGAAATCTTCCCATGACACCAATACTTTTTAGCTAACTCTCTTTTTCTATTTGTTTGGTTTTAAATTTTTTTCTTCTTAATTTTCTTTTAAAGTTATGTTCTTTTATTTTATAAATTTCGTCTAAAAAGTTTATAAAATTTTATTTTATATGTGAGAATAGTATACTTTACACGATAGTTACAGTATCATTTGCAAGAATGGCAAGAACAAAATCAATGTATACTAAGAATTCTTCACAACTTTTGCGACTGCCATTCATTGATCTCTTAAATCTTAATATCTTTTTAAGCATTCTTTCTGTCTGTTGTCAAATTTATTTCATACTGTGACAGCGAATAAATCACAAAATATTTCAAATGTATTTTATTTTGTTGCCTATATGGCTTTTCGTACGACCTGATTCAGTAATAAATGTGAAAGATGAGCAGCATTTGTTGTTATTACTAAAAATTCATGGATGTTCCTAGACGCATTGTTTGTAACAGTGTGTTTTTCGAAGGACGAAAATTTACTAAGATACTTTTCAAACCCATTTCATCGAGCAAATCTAAATATATTTCTCTTAGATCTTCAGTAAATCTATAGATTCAAAAACTGCTCGTTTTTGTGATTAATGTTCTCAGGTTGAGCGAAATAGCATTCGTTATTAACTTTGTGTTGGGCCCATGAAACTACTAATTACAATCATCTTCGTGAATTTTATACCTAATTATATGGAATGTTTAGAATTTAACTTAAAAAACTAAATGCCTTTTACTAACTGGCTATTTTTGCTCTACAGTAATCATATACAAGTTAAATTTTGCATTTACAAAACTGTATTATCCCAAATGCTAGAAATGTTTTCATAATAATTGTACGTGATTCTGTGAAACTCTGAAACTGGAAGCACATGTCTAGGAGCTATACCTAAAAAAATCTGATGTGGAAATTGCATGATTTCCTTGTATGGCCTACTAAATTATGCATATTTTTGCTGTACTTCATTTAAACTTATTTCCTTGAATTATTCTAACTTTATTAACCCATTCCTCAAGGTAAGTTGAAAAGCGCATCAAAAATTACAAATTGTGAAATAATATATCCCGGTCAATTTTTGTCGTACGGGAATCAAACTTCTTATAATTTTATTTTTTTAGAACGAGTATAAAATCTTTCACAAATATAAACATAAGAATCGGAGAATCGCATTAAAAGATAGATTTCGCTTTTTGTAGGAAATTATTTTAGTTTTAAATTTGATATTTCCAAAAAGTGGATATTTTCCTCATTTAAAACACATCTGTAATTGGAAGTGGAAACTTTCTACGGCTAATCATTTTTGAGTTACGCGAGATAAACACACTCGTGTATAAAATTAAAAAAATTTAAACATTATATCGAATTTATGAAAAATCTAATGGACGTATTTTAATGAATGTATGAATATACTTTTATACAGAAAAAGAGATGCACCGTTCAAAAGTCCTTTTATGTATGCACGATTATAAGCAAAGATCAGAACGCAAGTATGTCCAAAATTCACGTTATGATATAGAAATGAAAATGAGTCTAATATGGGTGAGATCCCTCTCAAAGACAGGTCGCGCAGTGTGGCGGCATACTGTACAGGAAGCAGTTGAAGAGTCTCAGTGCCAGTCGATTCCACGCCTGCAGCAAGGCAGTTTTAAACTCCGCGATGGTAATACATACATTGGGGGGTACACTCAGACCCTAAGTGGCCTCATGATAAAAAAAAGAGTGCACTCTGGGATGGTTTCTGAGGGAACGGCGAGATGAAATTACCCTCCCAAAAGGGTCCCAGACATGCTATATAGAGTTAAGGTCAGCAGATCTAGCTAGCCAATTCATACGACGAACATCCTCACTTTCCAGGTAATATTCGAGCAGCTGAGCTTTAAGTGGACGAGCGTTGTCGTCAATTAACAGGAACCCAGGACCAATTGCGCATCTTTTATACATAAGAGACAGGCACATAGAAAGTAATCTTCTGCGTTAAATTACGTTTGGGTACTAGGATTTTTTTTTTTTTTTAATTTTATTTTGTTTGAGTTTGCTATGTAATTTAATACATTACATCGTTCTTTCATGCAAGACAAAGATTTTTTTTATATAACAGTTGTGTCAATAATAGATCCGCATGTAGACATTTGGCAAGACCAGATAGTCCACAGCAGTTAAAATTTTCAGGAAGAGTCCTCCTTTCCTTACTTTATAATTTTATCTAACTCAAGAATCTGTTTTATTCTAACAGCGATTTCATAACAACCTTTTGATTGCTTCTTTGTTTAAATCTAAGTAATTCCTAACAGGCTAATCTTTCCCGAACAATAACATTCAAGCTTACTTATAAACTTTGTAAAGCTCTTAGCCTTCTATTCGGCTGCATTCTCGTGGCTGGATGGAGCAGAAAGTAGATGGTTTCTGCCAGGAAGATAACACACTGTGAGGCCAAGGCTAGGTCGGTGGTCTTCCTTGGTGGCGCTCAATCACTCACTCAACTCAGAGCAGTCACATAGCCTTTGTTACATATATGCAGGTGTGTGCGGTTGTGCAGCACAATGTCTGCCTAAACCATAACACATCCACCATCGTAATGATCCTTTTCCCTGAGAAGAGAGGGATGGTATCGTGTTTCAGGCTCTCTCAGACACTAGTACGCCGATTCAGTATACCTGTGTCTGGAATCAGTGTCCAGGCAGAATGTCGACTCATCTGTGAAACACACGGTGTTCCACTGAAGTCTGGTCCAAGGTGCATGTTGGCTGCACCACGCTCTCCTGTACGCTTCAGTGAGCGAGACACATACAGCGGGTCTTCTGGCACAGAATTACCTCATTAAGCTTTCGGGCAACTGAAGACCATGGAACTCGGGTTCCAGTGGCAGCATACAACTCATGTGAGAGCTGTGAAGCTGTAGCAATCCTATATCTCATGCTAAAAGTGCCACTGTTTCCACAAACTGCCACAAACACTGAGAGTCACACTGAGCTGTATAGCGCCCTTGCGCTTGTGATAGGCCTGCCTCCATTCTACCAACAACTCTCCCCCTCATTCCGTCAACCATACGTTTCGGGCTACTCATTTTACTTGATACCTTGTAAATATTTACCCAATGACTGCGAGAAACATGGAGAATGTCGTGAAAGACTAGGAGCAAACCAATCCCAAAAATCCGTCGTGCGCTTATATCCCCTCCAACAATCACAGCTCCGCGGACATGCACGTGTACATTTATGTATTCAACTCTGAATAGTTGGATAATTCTTCGGCGGCATAGTTAGTACCTTCGGTTAAATGCGTTTCGTAAAACTAAGACATAATTTGCAAATTCTCTTAATTTTGCACAAGACTGTACATACATATGTAGGAACGTACAGACACCATGAAAAAATTCCTTTTGAATCCATTTTACAATCAGTTTTGGTTAAAATAAAATTCCTTTATTCTGTACTTACGCAGAGACGTCATGAAACAAAATCGTCAAAATGGATTCGGGAACTGTCACAGTTTATATTTCTATCGAAATATGACTCCCGAAATTGTTCGCGATTAAAATACTTCCTTTACTTCGTACAAGGAAGGGGGGAACCTGTTAGAGCCCTTTCTCGATTGACTTGTAATATTTTATTACTATCAGCAGTAATTTTACTTTACATAACTAATTTTATTAACTAATTTATAACTAATTTTATTCACTAATTTTACTTTAATTTTATTTTACTTAAAATATTTTCAGCATTTAATAATTTTAAATACCAGTCAGATAAAACTAGAATGAATTTTCAATTATTACTTTAAATTCTAATACACTTTTTTCTTCTTATTTCAGGTTTTCGCATTCCTTTTTGGCGCTGCTGTCGCATCATTAGTACCAGTAGACGTCATCCCTCATTACAGTTATCATGGTCTAGCAGGAAGTGGTATCAGCTCTCGCTATTTCCGAAAAGCCCAACCCCTAGGTTATGGAATTGCTGGTTTAGGATATGGTTACAACACCTTAGGTGGCCTCAGCTACGGCTTAAATAGTGTTGGTAGACTGGGATATGGCTACAACTCTCTTAATGGACTTGGATACGGAGTTAACAACCTTGGCGGTCTTGGATATGGCTACAACAACCTCGGTTATGGATACTCCGGTCTTGGACTCCGTAACTATGGATTAGGTGGATTGGGATATGCAAATTTTCTCCTTTAAAAATGCAAGTGATACCATATTTATATTTATTGTTATTACATAATTTCATAAAACAGAGAGAAATTTCAAAAATTTGAAAGAAACTTTGAATTTCTCACTAAGATACATATTACTATGAAATAAACAAAGAGTTAGTCATTTTAACTATCAGTTTGAGCCAATTTACCATAATGAACGATACGTATTCCGATAAGATTAGATGCATTTTTATATAAAAATATTAATTAATATAATGCTGTCTAATTCACAAGGATGGTCACAAGTGCCATATGAGGAATATAAAATGCACGTTGGAAAAGGCCAAAAGCTTTGTGAGCTTGTGTAGGCTTCAATAGTAATAAAAAATTTAACCAACGATAAACAATATTATTCTCTGTTAGCAATCCCTACTTTTCATATGAGCAAAATATAATGTGATAATTTCCTTTCATGAAAAATCGTTTTCTATCCAGATTTGGGAAAACATTTTCAAAACAATATTTTTTTGGAGGGGGTTATTAAATTATCTATGAATTAATTTCAGCAAAAATGAAGAAAAGATTTTTTTTTATTAAGGTCACTGGTTCACTTTTCTACTAATCGATATTGTTTCATAATAATTAATAGAGAACATAAAATGACATGAATGAAATATTAATTAGTAATCAATGTTAGTAATCAATGTTAGTAATAAGCAAACGTAAGTTTTAAAAGCTGTTTTTGCAAATTCTGGTTTCTCAGTTTTAATCATTTAATATTAAAATGTTTTTCATTAAATTTTATCTTAAATTAAAATTACTAAACTAATTACATAAAATATCTTTTTTTATAGGTTATTTCTTAGGACGTTCTTCCCAGCTGAATTTCGATGACAGCTAAGAAGATGGCTAATGATCTAAGAAGAATTTAGAACTGCTGTTGACCTGAACTTTCATTTCTAGAAAATATTTCCTTCATTTCTATTCCAGTAAATGTACTTTTCCACAGAGAACTGCCAAATAAATTGTTTGAAACTTATTAGTGGATATATTTTTAACAAATGAATATACTAATTAAGGAAATTATACTCATTTAAATTCATTCATAATTAACTGCAGGCAACTGAATATTCCATTTTCCTCAATACAAATACATCATACAAAATTTTGAATAAGATAGATAATTCATTGAGGAAAACTTAATTGATACTTAGAATTATTTAAAAACTAATGCTTTTGTGAAGAAATTTTTGTGAGAAATTAGCTTGTATTCACATTACAAGATTATAAAACAAAATAGTCCCAGACTACCAACATAGCACGAAGAATCTAAGCTCGTAACAGCTACCAAAAATCCAAAACCTAAGAGAAAATACCACCATTCAATGATTTTGCTCATTCAGTCCTGATAATTATTGCTCATTCAGTGTTGATAATTATTATAAGAATATTCTAAAACTAAACTCGGCGGTACAAACAGCCCTTAGAGAGCCATGGCTGGTCAGTGCCCTGATATCTGCTTCTTGGACCGTGGGCTCCGGGGTGTTTGTGCATATTGCCTGCACAAGTGCTCAGCTTGTCGCAGGACCCTACTTTTGGTACTCTACTCGGTGTTTAGTCAAGCAAACTTGGTACCCATTTTATCGACCCTCTCAAAGGATGAAAAGCTGATCGAACCTCGGACCTGTGTTGCGCTAGCCGCTGCGCCACCGGCCTGTAAGAACATTCAGTTTGATATTTACTGGAAACGAGTAAATTACACATTTGATAATAATATTATCGTGTAATCAAAATAAAAAGGACAAACATTTGTTAAATAATCAAACTTTTTTTTTTTTTTAGTTTCATTTAATAATATTTTGAAAGTAATATTTCTATTATAGTTATACCAAAGATATTTACATAAAAACACATAAACGATACAAGGACAAATCTTAATAAATATAAACACAATTCTCCTTTTCCCATTATTAATGTTTGAGCTTCAAATGTTAAAGGAGTATTTTCGATTGGTTTATTCGATTATCGCAAAACACTTGAGGGCTTTCTGCTTAAGAGGAGGAATGTCTTCGTGGAGGACTTTCTAAGGCAACTAGCTCGTATACACGTTACGCATGGGGAGAACTATTAAAACGTCCATGCAGCCAACCCGTTCACCTGGAATCGAAACAGATCGAATTACCAGAGTTCAGCGACATTACCGCTTGGCCGCTGGTGGGCTAAAGGAGTACTTTTGCAGATACTTACTTTAATAGTCTGGTAATGGAAATATAAAAACTAAAGTGTAAGTTTTTTCCTACAATGAAGATTTTGTAATATGCAAGATTGGCCTTGAAATCTGTTAACACTACACGCCACTGATGACCAAACTTCATGTCAATAAGAGCCGCATGTTATAACTGAAGAAAACTAAAATGCCCATTTAATTATTTAAAGTAGTAAAACAGTTTTTGAATGGACAGAATTTTATTTAATAATTTAACAGCAATACTGTATTTTATATTTAATACGGCTATTCAATGTACGAATAAATATTTTTCATTGCTCTTTCTTGCACTCAGGAAAATAAGCTGCGGCTGCAACAAATGCACAAATTTTAAAACGTCGTATGCAGAGAGAGCCTCAAAGTTTTGTAAATAGCAATTATTATTTTTTTTTTTTTTTTTTTTTTTTTTTCTCCCTTTCCAAGAAAATCATTAGGAGAGGTGTGAGAAGATGGCAGCTAACGATACATTACTTCTCGGAATTTTAGATACCATAGAACGATTCACAGGTGCACAGCACACCTTTTGTGTTAAACACTTATACACAAATAACGATTCTTACTTTGTTAAAGTGGCTTCTTTCACTGTACATAAGGTAAAAAAAAAGTTCTGAAATAAATCTCCAATAAATTGATTTCTTTCAGAGATGACATCTCGTGGCCTCCAAGAGACGTTTTCATAACAGTGCCACCCCTTCATACAAGTCAGTGTTGTCCAAAAAGACACATCATCATAGTGGTGCCAAGACATAGAGAACATGCATAAACTGAAGATCAGTTAACTCATCGTAGGCACCCTTATGCCAATCCGGCGTTTTTTATAAGGTTGATAAGTTTTCGTCAATGAGAAAAAATTTTCAGGTTGTGCTTCTTGGAAGAAGCCTTGGGTATTTCAATAAAATAAACTTTATTTTCATCGAAATAACGAACTATTATACTTATCAGGCGTGAAAAGGATTTATATACAAAGTGCCCAATGAAGATCGCCAAATTCTGACAACTAGATTCTTCGCTTGGAATATATAAAAAATGAAAAAAGAGCTGTACCTATAACAATTCATAGTTTTCAAGATAAATGCGAAAGAAAAGTATGATTTCATATCCGGTGCAAGAAAAAAAGCTCTGAAAGGGTTCAGATTTTAACGATCGCCCAAAAGGATTTGTTAAGGATTTTACGCTCTCGATGAGTTCGAAATTTACCAGGCTTCTGTTGCAGTCACTCCTGTTAAACCATTTCTTTTTGTCTTTTTAACTTTATTAAGCATCATTTTTTATCATATACAATTTATAAGAAAAATTACAAAAATTTTAAAAGCAGCATTATTTAGAATTCCTGATTCAATGGCATACAGTTTTCTACATTTTTTTCAGTCTTTTCTCAGTTTATCATATTAATGTTCAGTTTTCTTAGTAAGAAGATGGCTTACAAAACTTTTTATTTTGTCTTTTTACTATTAACGCTTTGTGTGCTAATTTTGTGTGTTCTTCGCACTTGCGCCACGCAAAATTCAATCCAACAGCAAAATCACAAGATATTTTACAACAGCGTATTCTTAGAATTTCCGATATACAGTCTCGCGCGCTGGAGGTATATCAGGTATATTCGCAGTAAAACGCGCACCTTCTTTACGAAGAAACCCGAAAGATACATCTGAGATGCTCTTACCTTTTGAAATCTTTCATCTGAAGATTTTCCACAGTTTTTTGAACAATGGTATACTGAACTGACAAGCAATAAGGGGAACAATATGTATGTGAGGGCAATGCTTGATGGAGTAAATAATCCTGAAAAGAAGTTGGGTTGTATTCAATGCAGTTGTGCATTGAATGTTATGCTAGGGTTTCTAGAAAAGACTGGCATAATTTGGGAAAAGAATGCTGCCGAATTAAGAGTCAGATGCTTTCTCTTTCTGTAGTCATTTGAAGCCATGATTTTGAAGTGAACATCCAAGGATCTAGTAAATCGCATGGCTTTAGTTGAAATGCAGTTGATCTAGTGTTCCTTTTAGTCGTAAATATGGTTCTGCTAAATGAAACTAACACACTGCTTGTTACAAATGCCAAGTCATTCAATTTGAGAAAGAAAATGGAAATCGTGCTGCAGTAAGGATGTTTGGTGTTGGTGAAAGCTCCATATGTCAGTGAGGGAAAAAAAAAAAAATGCATTTCAGTAATAAATATGCCAAAGAAAAAATGTGCTTTGCATAAAGCAGTAATGAAATGCCCTATTCTAGAAGAAAGTGTTACTGCAAATTCCATGTATGAAAATTAGTATTTAAAATAAGATGTCAACTTAGTAAGAGTTTTGCATAAAAAACAGTACTTTACTTTTTTAAGTTAGAACCAACACACAAGAAAGAAGGATTCTCCTTTTTCTGATTAATTTAGTTACAGGAAAATATTTTTCTCACTTTTTTTTTTTTTTTTTTTTTGTTGTTTTGTTTGTTTGATTGTTTCTGTGGGGCCATAATAAAAATGTTAACATTTTTATACTCGTTAATTAAAAGGTATCGCTTGTTCAAAACTGACAGAGCATGAAAATTTATTTTGTTTAACTTCTTGAGCTAGAACTATGACCTCATGATTATTTATGCATTATTTGTTCAAAGAATATTTAACTATACTGTTTTTAAACATCGCATATAATATTTGACATTCCTAAAGAATATTTAGGATAAATTACATACTTAATACAGTTACATTAAGTATGTAATTAGTCATAAAGCATTGTATATTTACAATAATAATTATAGATACATAACACTTTATGAGGAGTAAGACCAAATTAGTTGAGTTTCCAATGCATGAGCGTAACATTTCTATTAAAATAAAGAGTGAATTAAACTAATTTTAATGTTCTCAAATATTCTTCCTCAGTAACCTAGAAACAAGCTAGGTTTAAAAAAAAATAGAAATTCATTTTATTATACCTATTTCACAACATAAGCTACTTCAAAATAGTGAAACTAATTTAAACTAGGCTCTCTGAACTAAATACATATGAGAAATCTGTTTCAATCAGTAATACAGCAATTTGCAAATATGCAAGCATTGCAGAACTTGAGAACAGAAGTATCAAAAAGTTTTCCTTGAAATTCACTTTACTCATAACAGAAGTACAGCATCAAAACTGTGAAGAAATGGGCTTAGACACAAAACTTTATATCATCATAGGATGATAATATCCTAAAAATTAAGTTTACAGAGTGATTGATTGCAGTATTGTTATTTAAAAGCCAAAAACATAAGTAATTAATATCTGTTGTCTATTATCAGCCAGCAATTAATGATCAGTTATCTAATGCAAAACTATAACTACATGAATTAATTCTTAAAATTTCGTCGCATAGAATAATTAGTAAAGTGAGTTTTGAAAATTAAAAACAACAAATAAAACCAAATGCTATCATACTTTTTATTTCTACGTCTTTCTTTCTTTCTTTTTTCTTTTTCTTTTTTTTTTTTTTTTATTTTTAGATAATTTTTACCGAGTAATTAGTTTATGTGTACACATTTCTTAAACTGAAACACTGACTAATAATAGATTAATAAAAACTCAGAATTAATGGGTTCTGCTCCTGGCAGATGAATACTGTTACGTACGTTCAGGTTCTTAATAGACTGAATGCACAATTCCGATAATAGGTTAATAAAATGTATTCTTATCAAAAGAAATATATCAGAACTCCGGAATTTTCCTCAGACATATTCGTACAAGTGTTCAGAATATCACGCAGTAATAATCAGTAGTCATATTTCAAACTACTGAAAACGTT